ACATACTTACCCAGTTATCTGAAAACAGTTTAATTCTGTTGGTCCTGAAGAAGTGGATAGGATCCTCCAAAATGAGTTAGAACTATATCTGTTATGTTTGGTCAAGGCCATCAAGAAGAGTCATGTGGATGGGTCCATGCAATAGTGAATTCATCCTTATGTGATGTGTTCTGTCCACCTTTTATAAAGGTACTAGTGTGCCCCCTCCTCAAGAAGCCATCACTAGACAGCACCATTCTGTATAATTTACATCCAGTTTCTCATCTTCCTTTTTTTAGAGAAGGTGATTGAGAGGATATGGCATTGTAATTCCAGAGGATCCTGGATTATTTGGACCTTTTCTGTCAGGGTTCAGGCCCAGATATGAAACACAAAGAGCATTGGTCATGCTTTTAGATGATCACTGGTGGGAGCAGAATGGAGGTGGTACATCCACTTTTGCTCTTCTTGACCTCTTGGTGGCTTTCAATATCATTGACCACTTACACCCTTTCCTGGATAGGGAAAATCTTTGCTTGGTCACTCATGCCCTAATCATCTCTCCTTTGGACTATTGTAATGCATTCTACATGGGGCTACCCTTGAAAATATCCGGAAACTGCAGCTGGCACACAATGCTGCATCGGGTGCTAGTTTGCTTCTGGGTCCAATTCAAGGTGTTGATTATGACCTTTGAAGCTCTACATGGCACAGGCCAGGTAACCTGCAAAGCCAGATCATCACCTTACATTACATCAAGCTGTCTCACCTGGTCAAGCAGGGAGGATATGCTGCAGACCCCATCAGTTCAAGAATTTTGACTGGCAGAGTCCAGGAAGAGAGTCTTCCCTGCTGTTGCCTCCACCCTTTGGAACATTCACTCCCCAGAGATGAGGCCGGCCCTGCCAATTCACTTAGGGCCCACAGAGGGCTACCTAGCTATAGGACTGGTTAGAACCTTGAAAGCTCTCCCCGTCTTTTTAAATATTTTATTCTTCTTTTTAACTGTCTCTTATTATAATATTTATATACAGCTCTTATGTTTCTATATCTTACGTATTATTCTGGGAAGGTGATGGGTGGTTTCTAAATGAAATAAACAATTTTTTTCCAGGAAGCAAAAGTTGGGGATTTTGGTTGCTCCAGGATTTGCATTGTCGGGCACTGATTAAATTACAGGGGGTTTTTTTGTACTCTCTTATTAGCTTTCTGGAGGATTTGCTCTGGTTGAGTCATAGTATGCTCTGCATTCTGATGCCTGCAGTGGTGGTGATGATCACACGACCAGCTTTAAAACAGTTTGAAGGGACTCAATAGTGGAAATAATGTGGATGCGCCCTTAATTGTTTCTGAAGCAGTCTATATGATCATCAGAGGGGATGCTCAGATTCTAAATATGTGATGGTCTAAATTCAACAACTAATTATCAGAATACCTTTACACTATGTCTCACAAAATGAGCAAAATAGAATATAAATCTCTTAGTGTACATGAGGGTGGGAGGCAACTAACCCTACCATTTGTGTTTGAAAACGGAAATATTTACAAACATTTCCTCTTGGCAGATCTTAAACTGTATCTAAAGATTGTCCCTATTTAACAACCATTCACTTACAATGAAAAGTAACTTTGCAACTAATCCTTGCATTTATAACTTTCACACATCTTTAAAGCAAAGGAAAGCTGAAGCAAGATCATAAGCACAGCCAGTTTCACTTAGCAATCGCCTTGCTTAACAACTGAGTTGCACATCCCAATTGTGATCGCTAAATGAGGACACCTGTGCAGGAATCAGCATGACAACAAACACAGTTGAGTCATCTTCTGTCATATACCAATTCATCATCCATGAATTGTTTGAGCACACTATACATGTTTTGGGAAAGAATACCATCCATTAGGTAATTACTAGCTTAGATATTTTTCTTTCAATAGATTTTTCTCCCCCTTTTGGCTTTGTGATTCAGTTTTGCAAAGTGAAAATACAAACTCTAAAAAGTAATTAAATAGAAACATAAATAGTCTGTAAGAATAAAAGCAACCACAAAAAAAAGGAAGCTGGAAGTGTACATACTGGGAATCCAGCCATGAAAAAGCAGGAATATTTAGGGCAGAATGTAGTCCCACCAGACAGAACAACAACTCTTGACACAATGCCTTTTCTGTTTATACTTGTTTAAGCTGAAGTGTTTGGGAGGGCAGGCTGAATAACAAAGAGTGATATCATAAATATAGCCCAATAAGCACTCCTAACACTGTGCAATCCCGAACACTCATCACAGATAATAAGTACAATTGCTGGAGGGAAAATTATACGTGATATATCTTCCCAGATAAACTGCAACTTGAGAATAGCAATACTATACACAGTGTCCGTATAAGTGAGCTGCTGCATCGAGGAATGAGAATAGGATCTCCTTATTGGGAGAAATTATAAGTAACTCATGTTATTTATGCCATCCATTTTATGCCACTCTCTCCACTGTCACTCTTGCTTTTTGGGTAGAAATCAGTTTTGCTGCAGGGACATTCAAACCTTACGCTATGCAATTCAGGCACAATTGATTTTGTTTCCACAAAGTAGACTAAAGCAGCATCAGTTTTCTTCTGCCTGGCACTCTTCCTTTTAAACAGATGAATGTGGACATTCTGAAGGTATTCTTCTTTTTAATATTAACCAGATTTATCTAAACTGTTGCTTATAAAACCAGGCAAGGAAGGGTGTGGCTGTGCTGAAGCCACAAAACTGCAGTCCTGTTTCACTACTTGTTTTGCCCTTGGCTACCAACTAAAATGCATCATTATTTCAGCTCCTTCTCCCCCACACATCTGGTGTTATTATGAGTGGCTGAAATGAGAGTATCTCACAAATTGCTGAATATTTTATGCATGAGCTTTACACTTGTATTTTAAATTTACCATGTACAGTATGTATTGTTATTATTTGTTAAATTTATTTTCCACCTCTCTCATCATGGGGTTACTCTAGGCGGCTTACAACAATAAAAACGGGGAAATGAAGTGTAAACATAACAGTAGCAGAGTAATGGTATCATAGAATAAACAATGAAAAAGAAAATGATGATACAACAGTATGAGAATAAAAGATGGGCGGGTGGCGAAGCAGGGAGCGAGGGGGAAGGTAAGGTTTGCAATCCATCTAGTAGCCACCTCCATTGGGTCCCCAGGCCAACCAGCAGAGTCAGGTCTTCAGGCTCTTATGGAAGAATAGGAGGATGGAGGCAGATCTCACCTTGGAGGGTAAGATGTTCCAAAGGGCAGGTGCGACAGTAGAGAAGGCTCTTCTTCTGATTCCCCATAATCATAGATTTTTTGACCAATGAGATCCACAGTGGGCCCTCTCTGCTGGCACGAGTGAGGCAGGCATGTCCTAGTGCAGTGGTTCTCAACCTTTTTAATGCCGTGACCCCCAACCGGTCGTAAGTCGAGGACTAAACCGGTCGTAAGTCGAGGACTAAACCAGTCATAAGTCGAGGACTACCCAACTGGTCGTAAGTCGAGGACTCTCCCTGCCCGGGAGCGCCGCGCATGCGTGGTTCCGCCCCCTGCGCCGGCCGAGGCGTAGTTGGCAAGCAGCAGAGACGGAGCAGGCCGACCACCAGCTGGCCCCAGCCCAAGGGAGGTAAGGCACCCGCCGGAAAAGGGGGGGAAAATGGCAGACAAAAAAAATGGCGGACAGCCTTGCTTGGCGACCCCCATGAAATGGTCGATCGACCCCAAATGGGGTCCCGACCCACAGGTTGAGAACCACTGTCCTAGTGGGACCAGTCCTTCATCACGTAGCCTTTAAGGGCTTTAAAGGTCTTAACCAACACCTTAAATTGCACGTAGAAGAGACTGGTAGCTAGCGCAACTCATGGAGCGGAGATGTAATATGGGCCATTCAAGGGGCCCCAAAGACTGCACTCCTCTCTGCACTTTGAACCAGCTGAAGCTTCCAAATTTTAGATCTGATCTGATCTGAATATCCTTTCAGGAAATGGTGCACAGGTGAACCAAGCAACAAAGTCATTCTTTCAAAACACCCATGAGGAAGCCACATTCCATTTTCATGGTAAAAAAAGAAAACCTAATGATTGCCATTTACATAAACCATTGCAGCTTGTATTAGCAAAATTATTAATCAAAGTCAATGCTGAAAGTGAGGATGTCATCTTAAACTATGGTGTCTAAGTTAGTCTCAATTATATTAATGAAAATAATGCAAGCCTAAGGATGCCTACTCCCAAGTCTTAAGATGCTTACTAAGGACGTACAGGATTACAGGCAGAATCACCACTTTAAAACACCGCTTTCCTATTTACTAAAAAGTTAAAAAAAAAAAATTCACCTAGTCAGGCTAAGTCGTTTGGAGAAAACCTGGGAAACATCCCAACTTCTCTGCAAGACCTCATTATTTTTATCTGAGGCTGAGATACTTTTCAAATGGTTTAATACTTCGGAGACATCAGCCTGAACATTGCTAGGCTACACACAAAGGTATTTAATTAAGTTAAATGAATCAACTCTGGGCGGCTGACTTAATAAGTGTTGTCTGGGGAGGAGAAGCTGGGAAAATTAGAGCAGAGTATAAAATCATCAGAGCTACCAGTGGGAAACAAGCCTCATTGCTCCGGGTTGGTTTTTTTTTCAGTACAACGAAAGGAAAACCCGCATCCCCTTTGGTCAGCAAAAAAAAAAAAAAAAAAGAACATTTCATATTCTCACAACCGCGACCTAGACACGCTTAATCCAAGGACATTATTGCACATCGACATCCATCGTATGTTCCGTGGAAGACTGAGAAAACCGTCAAGCGCGCTACAAGAACCCGCCGCCTCGTTCCGTTCTCGCTGATTTAAAATAATAATAATAATAACAATAAAATAAAAAAAACCCGGCAAGACCTGCTCCAAACCCACGCTGCCGGATTCTCGCGCTCTCTACGTCACGGCTCCGCCCCCCTGCTCTTGACGCTTGGCGACGTCCCTCCGCCTCCTACCCGGAAGCGGCTGAGGGCGATGGCGGCGGCGGCGGAGCCTATGGGGCAACAGTGGGTGCTGGTGGAGATGGTCCAGGCCTTCTATGAGGTGAGAGGCCAAGAATGGCTGGGCTTGGATGGGGGCTCCGCTGAGGGGTTTGGGAACGTCGCCTCCAGCGCCCCCCCCCTCCGTATCGTGGGGGAGAGGTCGGAATTGCATGTCACCTTCCCTCCCCCCCCCCCCCCCAATAAGGGCCGTGGCTGAAAAAGGCTCGGGACTTACGGGAAGGGGAAGATGGTCGAGTCCCTGTTAAGGACCCCATGGAGTAGAAAGAGGGACTTGGGCGGGCAGGCGAAGGCATCGTGGTGCTGGTTTGTGTATGGCGCTGGGGATGTATTGAGGTCACGTATATTTGTAGTGAATACCCACAACAAATGAAGCGAGCCGGAAGGATTCATTTATCCACTTATTGCAGTTGATGTTCGGTATTGTTGGTTTCTGGGATTAGATTTTTGATCAACGTTTAGAAGTTTTATCTTCTTCTTCCACCATCCCTCTCCCTCCCCCATTTCTTTTATGGCTTTTATTTTGACTTTGAAGGAAGAGATTCTTGCCCATCGTTTGCCCAAGTGTAAAGGCTACATTACCGATATCAGCCTATTCCAACTGCATCTTGATATCTTGGCTTTAGATGATGATGATGATGATGATGATGATTATTATTATTTATTGAATTTATATACCGCCCTATCTCCCTTACAGGACTCAGGGCGGTGAACAGGCGATAATAAAAACCACGATAAATATACACAAGTTTCTGTTATAAAATCAAATTAAATAACAGGCCTGCTCTAAAAGTACCCCATACAAAACCCCCACTAAAACATAATCAATCTACGCCAGGCAAGATGTTTTTTTTTTCTGTCTTTTTGTAAGCGTCCCTCAAGGATTATTAGCTAGGTGGTTATGTAGAATAAATGAATTCGGAGCATCTTTACATCCGTTCTTGAAATGCCACAATAGCTATAAGAAGTATTCACATTGTTTTGAAAATTCCAGTTTTGCACAGAATTGAAATATCTTATTTTTAATGGATGTGTTATTAAGTATCTCTTAGAATAAAAATGCAAAAAAATAATTAATGTTGTAATGATAAGGATGCTTCCTGGAAAATTTCACCCTCAGACTGATGTAATTCTCTGAATATTGTTGGTGGACTATATTAGCTGTGTGACTGACTCGTGTCCTAAGTTGAAAGTTCATTTAAAAGTAAGATTTAGTTGCTTATACCAGAAGAAACAAACAGTCATAACATATTGCAGATGGCAAGCACACAAACTTAGCTTAAATTGCTAATAGTATAATTCTACAGGATAGATAATAATATAATAGTCAATTAGAACCAAAGAAACCTGCATTTATGTCATCCTTAACCAGAGAAGCTCTGGTGACATTGGACCAAGTCATTCACGCTTGCTCTCATTTACTTCATGAGAATGTTATTTTGGAGAAAAAGTAAAGGGAAACTGCTATGTATCCTTCCTTTAATTCTTGTAGGAAAGATAGAAAATAAATTAATGCATTCACACAAATACACACACACATGCATATATACAAAAACATAAATCATAAACAATAGAAAAAAGAAAGAAATAGGAGATTAAAGCAGGTTGGTTGTTAAGTTTATTGTCAGTGTAAAACTATTCCAAAAACATGACCATATGGTTTGTAGCTATAAACTTAATGGTTCACTTGTACATAGATTGTTGACTGAGAAACTTTTTGATCTATGCTTTAGGAATGGAGATAACATTTAATCTGTTTAGTCCTACAAAGTAAGTATGGTATGAATTCCTTTAATGCTGATCAGCACAGTCCTTCATGAATTACTTGAATAACATTTTGAAATGTATACATTTCTCCCTTGTGATTTTGGAGAGCATTACATGAGAGGACAGAGAAAACACTGTGTGCACTCACAGTGGGCATTCATTCACAAACATAAAATTGTTTTCTAACCAGGCATTGGGTACAGAAGCCTGAAATAAAATCCATCAGGATCATAGAATTCTAATTCTATGATTCAAAATTTAAAATCATATTCGTTTTATCAGCCTCAAATTAGAGTTCCAACTGTAGGCAGTTAAGTTTGCAGCTTCAAAGTCATAGAAATTTTTGCAACACAGTGAGGCATGCATAAAAATAGATGCAGTCCTTTTTTAGTATCCCTAATGAATTTTTTCCCAGTCATATTAGATCTCAAAAGTAATTCTTGCAGAGTTATATAAGTTGTATTTCAAATAGAGCTTAACCATTGGAAAAAATGCCTGTTTGTTATGTGGACTTTTTGAAATAACATAGGTTCATTAATAATTTCTCCTATTTTTTTTTTTATTTCTAGGCTCCAGCGTACCACCTTATTTTAGAAGGTATTTTGATCCTATGGATAATCAGACTGCTTTTCTCTAAAACATACAAACTTCAGGAGCGATCTGATCTTACACCTAAGGTCTGGATTTCTAAATTTCTCTCTCCCTCTCCATTCCCCCTTTTCCCTTCTCCCTTCACCTACTCACCCACCCACACAGACACATAATCTCATATATAGTAGTTATAGAAAGTCTACACACCCCTGTTAAAATGCCAAGCTTTTAAAATGTAAAAAAACCCAAACCAAGATAAGCCACTTCACAATTCTTTCCACCTTTAATATAATATATATAAACTATACAGTTCAATTAAAAAACAAACTGAAATATAAGTATATAAGGGACATTTATTGTAATTTCTGCAAGAAGCCCTGGGGATATAAGAAACAGAGATGCATGTCTATCATTGACCAGTCAGTGCAAAGCATCTCAGAATCTAAAAAGTATTATCTCCTTTTTATAGTATAATTATTTATGTTACAGTTTCTAGGCATAGTTGGATTTTAAGATTACAGTTTCTGTGCTGTTTCGTATGTTCATCAAAGACTGTTGTAGAAGAAATTTTGGTCAGTTCAAAAAATTGTGCAAAAAGAAGTTTTGTAATTGATGCAGCAATCAATTAAGTATTCCTAATATTCTTAGGAAAACTATGAATTGTATAAAGGAGAATTTGATTTAAGGAAATGGCATAAAACTACCTTTAGTAGATTTAAAATGAACATGATTTCAATCTCTTTTCGTACAAATGTGTATGTGTATATCTCAACTGCTTACATCCAATTTTTCATTCTTTTCTTATTAAATTAGGGTTAAATTGTTGGACTAGGACAAGAGAATCTCAGGTTCAAGTCCACTCTCAGCTATAGATGCTCGGGGAGTGACCTTGAACTACAATAGTGCAGTAGTGTCAGGAGAGGAATCAGCCTGGAGTTGTTACATTCGCACAAGCAATCAAAGTGCAGTTCCCCCCTTGAATTCCATTAATTCTTATCTAGTGCCAGTTTGGTGCTGAGTGTTAGTTGACTAGATTCTTGTATGTAGGAATGAGCAATAAATCAACTTAACTGGAACTTAATATGTGATCCTGATTCTTGTCACCTGACAAGTAGTCATTCTCTCTCGGGCCAACTTCCTTCATAGGATTGTTGTTATAAAGGAAAATTGAAGGAGAGACTGCTAAATATGCCATCTGGAGCTCTAGGAGGAAAGGCAGGGTATCTATCTATTGAACATCATTCAGTACTTCTGTTTCTGTTTGTAACAGGAAAAGGAAGAGTTGATTGAAGAATGGCAGCCAGAACCTCTTGTTCCTCCAGTACCAAAAGATCACCCAGCACTGAATTACAATATTGTTAAAGGGTAAATTTGGATCATCATAATTTCAGCCCAGGTTTTTTTACATGTTTACATGAAATATGACTGCGTTTGAAAGTATATACTTCTAGCAGATGTGTTTAGGATTGTGAGCTTGATCACTTTGTATAATAATTATGGCTTGCTATCTTGCAAGTTAAGAGAACTGGGTTCAGCACAAATTTAAATTCTAATGTAGAATTGAGTTGTGAAAGATATCAAGTAGGCATAGTAAGTTACTTCATTTTTATCATTCTGCTTAACGGATAAAATACGCATGCCTGATGGTCCTTAGAAGTCCTGGTGAAATGAAAAATGTGTTTTCTTTGAAGTTGAACAGATTGTTATAGGTAGGCTGTGGTTTGAACTAAAACCGAACATTTTTTAGTTGTTCCAAATGATGGCTAAAAAGTAGTTTGGAGGGATCTCACAGGGCAAGCAAGGCCACCCTGGTATACTCCACCAATTGGTTATGCCTTGCTTCAAACATGCCTAGCTGCCTGCTCGCCTCTCAATCTTCCTTTCTGGTATGTCCCTTTAAGGGAGATCAAGTGGGCTGGTTGGATATCAATCCTCGAAACACCTTCTGCCTAGAATTCGTATATTTTGGACCCGTTTTTTGTTTTGGTCACCTGGACTCACCTGTTCTGGACACTCCATATAACAATGTACATGTTCCTGTTTTTAATTTACTCAGACATTATTAGCATTAGTAATTCTAGATTTACTTAATTTATTAAATTGTTTAGTAATAACAGGCATTATCTATTTAAAGGGCATTCAATCTCAGGATAAGAAACGTAAGACAGGTAATTTTAGCTACTCATGAATGGGTATTTTCTACTTCCCTGTTAATTGAGTGGTAGAACCTGTGCTTTGCCCACAGGACATCTCAGATTCAAAATTTGCCCAGAGCGCTACAAATACTACCTACAGTCCTGGCAAGATGCTGCCGGTCAATGTAGACTGTGTTGGGCTAGATCAGACATGTCAAACACAAGGCCCAGGGGCCAGATGCGGCCCGCAAAGTGGTTTCATGGAAACAGTGAGGGAACGGCCCCTGCTGCCTTGGCCCTGGCCCAGGCCGGCCGGGAGCCAATGTACAATTTTGTGATGGCCATCTATGCTGAAATGAATTCAGTCTTAGCTCCACAAGGCCGTCCAGAAACAGCAAGGAACCAGTCCCTGCTGTGATGGCCCTGCCCCCTTGGTGCATGCTGGGGAGGTGTCACCCTTTGTGGGGAATGAAGAAATGGACCATGCCTTGGCGCTTGCCCCGGTCCCACCCCCTTCTGCCAGAGACCCTCAGATCTGTCCCACTCTTGCCCAGGCTCCTCACAGGCACCCTTGATGCGAACGATATAGAGCTGGCCATGCCCACCCAGTAGGCCACACCTACTCCATCCCCACCTACCCAGTAGGCCGCACCCACCCTGGCCACACCCACCCGGCCCCCTAAGGGCAACCGCAATGCTGATGCGGCCCTCAGTGAAATTGAGTTTGACACCCCTGGCCTAGATGAATTAACAGTATAACTTTGGTAGCTTCCTGTTTTTTCCTAATAAACATGGAAAAGGTAAAATCTATTTACAGTAATGTTAAAAAGGGCAGTTTCTATAATAAGGGGGGATTTTAACTGCTGCTCTTTTCTTAAACTAATTCGTTCTCTACCATAGGTATCAAATATTTACTTTGTCCCCTTTTTTTCTTTCAATTTTATATGTGCCCACTTAAATCTAAAGTAATTTCTGAAAAAATGCTTAGATCCTACCTATAATAGCTCAGAATTTAATCCAGTTGAGATTAATGGAGCTTCATCATAACTAAGCATATGAAGGATTAGACCTTTAAATATTAAATTTTGAGGATGCTTTTTCACTGTGTCATAAGTTTAAAAAGTCACAGGAATTTCAGTATACTTCTAAGCAATATTTCTGTTCTAAGTAACATTTCTTTGTGTTCTTTATATAAGGATGCCATATTATATTTGTATTTCCTTATGTTACTCTTATACTGTGTAAGTCAGGAAAATTTCTAAGCAATTCATGAACATTTGGTCATTGCTTAAAATAAATGCCAAAGTGTTTTTGAGAATGCCATTTTATATAGTAAATGACATGCATGGAATATATCAGCATGATGAATACAATAATACATATTAATCATGAGATATTTTCTTTGTGAGTACAGTATGTGGCTTGACTTACTGTAGCAGAATAAATGCCTTTTTATGTAGGATTGCATTATGACTTAAAGAAAAATACTACATTCTTTAAAGCAGTTTATAAATGATCTCAGTAAATGGCAGCATGACAAAATTGTGTTATTTTGAAGAATTCAGTGCTTATATGGGGTACCTTAATAAATTGCTTTGCTGAATTAGTGCTAATTTTCAGACATACTATAATCTTTTTCGGTTACAAATAGAGAATAGAATTCATGGACATATTCTATGACACAGGAATTCAAGAAGTGCTATCTTCCAAACATCTTTAATAAACTTGGTGTATCTAAACTTTCATGCATGCCAAATAGTGAAATAGACCAAACTTAAGACTTATTATATTTCTATTGTATTTCAAAATAAAAGTTACTGACAAAACACCAAAAAACACTAAAACATTAAGTGAAATGAAATGGAATTATCTTTAAACTTAATGTAAAATAATAAAAATAATAAAATCTTTAACGTGTTGGAAATGCAGCTTCTAGAACTTCTAAAATGCTACTTGGGAATATTAAGAATCTCATCCTTAATATAATCTGGAAAAATTATGTAAATGAAAAACAGTCAACCATTATAAATAATGAAACATGCTGGTTTAGAGAAAGTAAGCCTATTAATAGCAGTTGATAGGTGGCTTGAAATTTGGCTATTGTGTAACTGACCTTCATTTGATTTGGAAGAACTTTTTGGTGTGCTGTTATTTGGAGCTATTGCACCAAAATGATTTATATTTAAAGGAAAAAAATCAGAATGAGTACTGGGCTAGTAAAATTGTCGTTTATGTTCTGAGACAAGTTGCAGTACTGTTATAAGTTTTTAATATTAAGGAACTTGGATTATGATTTATGTTGCATAATTCTTTGATATACTAATGTTTATCAGCTAAACATGGAGATGGGTAACATAAAACTCCATGTATAGCCAGAACCTCCAAACAGTTGCCATATGCTTTTTAATGTGATTTAAGGGGACAAATATTAAATGCCCATGGATAACTTTTACTTTGCATTAGTTAAGGTAGAGCAAATGTAAGATACATCACATTTTATTTTTCTCTTGATCATTCATTTCTTCCCTTCTGGCCTTACTTTTTTAGAATATTCAAGGTAATATGTGGCTCTCAACTTAAAATGTGTGTGCATCTCTAGTCTAATGGAAGCCATTCAAGTTCTTGTGGAACTCTGAAAATTCCCTAAAACCCAGTTGGAAAAAGTATCACATTAAAGTATGTTGCAGGCATGCGCACACTGGATGGGTTCGGCAAGCTTCTTCTATGTGAATAATGAAAAGAGGTGTTGCAATGTCAGCCAAAAGCATTGCCTTATCAACTTCCTTCTGAACATAAGGCTGCTCAATTTCAGTGGTTCTTCTGACTGTCGAAACTGACTGGCAGGGATGAAATATTTTCCTTGGGATCCAAGCCATAATGCATGGCAATATTTATTGAATAACATTTTAATAAATTATTGTAATAATCGTCTTGCTAGATGATTGCTTTAGGATGAGTTTTCTTTCTAGTTTATTAGACTCTATTTAACGTCTTAGCTTGAATTGATTCTTCAGAGATTTAATTAAAATTAACTCATCCCTTAATGTTATGAATTAAGCAATGAAACAAATTTTTAAATACACTGCATTTTCTTAAGTGACAGGATAACCTTTCCTTAGGATGTAATTTTCATATTAGGGCATGTTTATTATATTTTCTGATAGCATTATTGTTACTCAACTAAAATACTTCTTTTTTAAAATATTAAGAAGATGAAATATGTTCCCAAAATTCTGAAAAATATTCCAAGAAAAGTATAAAGCAATGAAGTGGTTCCTTTAGAATTCAACAACAGATGAGAGATTCATTAGAACAAAGTTGTTTGTATTAATAACATAAAGAACAAGTATTATTAACTAAGATATAAATCTCTACATCAAACAGTATCTCCACATTTAGATACAGTACCAGATTGGAGAATATCACAGTTTTTTGTATTCAAGAATGCTTTGAGTTTCTAAATCTGTGCTGGTTCTCCAAATTTATTCACTTTGCATTTTTTTTCATACTTTAAGGCCTCCAACTCACAACATTATTGTGAATGACAAGGAATGCATAAACTTTGCATCATTTAATTTTCTTGGGCTTTTGGATAATGAAAGACTTAAAGTAAGTACCTCCATAGATCTCACTATGTAGCCTTTGTGTTAAAAGAACTATTTGAATGACCCATGGATGCTTATAATCTTTTAGAGTGTAATTGTGACTAGTATTTCTCCTTGTATAAAATCTGGGTTGATTTCTGTTAGTATTTCATTCATTTACAAGAGGGCCTGTAGACCGCACATGGGGCTCATAGGTTCTGCCCAGACAAAAACAAGCAAGGATAATTTGTAGTAATGGGAAGTATTGTGCTGGGCTAAAGATAAGTTAGAGTACATATCACCATTTAGATTATGGTCAATCAAGTCTCATTTTCAAAATAGTCCAGCAACCCTGTGGTAGTGAGAGTGTCCATAGCATGCATGCCTGCATACGTATATAATCATCATATTAGTCCCTGTTGGGCAAGCAGTATTATATAAAGTGGAGAAAAGGAGTTAGATATAAACCAAAAAACTTAAATATAGACGATAGAAAAAAAAATGTAACTAAATCTAAGTTATACCAACATTATTCACTATCTCTTTGTATGTTTTGTCTTTTCAAACCTGCTTGCTTCTGCTGTGTCTGTATATTGATTCATACATATAATAATCAATGCAAATATCATTTTTTTTTAAAAAATGCAAATAGAAAATACAGTGGTGAATATCTAAAAATGGGATTTCGTTGTGCTGGAGATTTAGTCTTCATCCTTTAATATTCAGAAGTTTGTATTGAACAATATTCTTGACTAGCAAGTTGGTAGTTGAAAAATCTTTAAAATGGAAGGCATTCACAAATACATTACCTTTTTTTGCAAAAAAAAATTCGATGCTTTAAAAATATTAAAAGGAAGTGTTTGCTTTATTGGTGATCCATGCATTTTCCAAATGTTTATTTAGTGGTCTACATTTGTAGAAACTATGAGAAAGACTGGAAAAAATAAAGGAACCAAAATGATACTCTTTAAGGGATCAAGCAAAAGATTTAATCTTTACACACATAAGTTATAAGTTGTATGTTATATGTAATGTTACATCTTCTACACCTTATCATTTTAGTGTTCTCAAACATTTATGATTTCCTTTTCATCAGCATTTTAATTCTACTCTTCAATATTAGAATGCCCTTCACACATTTTTAAAATTTTACTTCAATTTCATGCCAAACTATTTCATTTCTTTAATTTGTAGTGCTATTCACTTTTCTCTTTGTCAGCTTCCCCCCCCCCCCAAATTTCCGGAACAATTTTTATTTCCCTCAGAATCACAGCAAAGAATGTTACCTCTTCACCATCTTCTTTTTCTTAAGGTTGTCAAAATTCCATCCACATATGTTATGTGAGGTGATGGGATGTCAGAATGAAAAAAAAAAGTCTCTCTAATCCCACATACTATTTGTATGAGCCCCAGGAGATTACTGTACTCTTTGGGGATTGTGATACGAAAAAAAACAATGTAACGTATATCAGTGTAGTAATGATTTTATTTTACAATAGTATTACATGTAATATGATTTTCTTCTTATACCTCTTTGAAGAATGCTGCCCAGGCATCTCTGGCAAAATATGGTGTTGGCACATGTGGCCCTAGAGGATTTTATGGCACTTTCGGTAAGTATTGCATCTTTTTCAATATAGGATTGAATGTAATAATAACTACCTTGATTTTAACTTCACAAGAAAGAATTGAAGCTGGGAAGGCCTGGTGTTAAACTGTTCATACATTTTAAAGAGATGCTTCTGACGTTCTTTACAATAATCTTGGTTTTTTAACCAATCTGAATAATTTAGTGTATTTGTAAATTTGGGCAGTTTGCTGCTTTTCCCAAAGTCAGGATCATTTATGAGCAAGTTAATAAGCATTGGTCCTGATACATATTCTTAAGTCATGCAGCATAGAAGCTTAATAAATTATTATTAGTCTCCATTTCTTACCCCCTCTCCATTTATTGAGTCCTTCCCAAGGACCTGGGATGATGAAGATGATGATGATTTTATTCTGATTTTTATATATTTTGATCAATTCAAGGAGGCAAATATGCCTAATAGTCCTGCCTCCTATTTTGTCTTTAACAACAACTGTGTAACTTGTGAGGTGTGTTGGGCTGAGAGACAGTAATTTGCCTAAAGTCACCCAGCTGGCTTCACAGTCTCCTGGTGTCAAGGCCAAGATTTAACCAGTCCACTAAACTGGTTGTCTTTAATTGTTGTTTTCTTTAGCCAGTTATCAATCCATAAAAGGGCATGCACTCTTTTCCTATGTGTTCTAAGTTTATTCAAGAGCAGTTGATGGGTGGAGAGAGAGAGAGAGAGACTTTATCAAGGCTTTTAAAAAGCTCAATGATTCATACATATTCCACCATCAGTTGACATGTAACTTTCTGCATACTGCTGTTTAGCCAAAAAATTCTGGGCGGCCTGCTGAGGTTTAATTATTCCTTCTTATGATCTTGATGAAGATTTATTTGCTTTTTGTTTAATTTTCATAGCCGTGAAAGTGTTATATAGGGAGATTTAAGTGTGTTGAAGATTGCAATGTTTAATATTGCAGTGTTATGTTCAGGGAGACCACAAGAGGGCAGTCTACTGACTGGCTTTAAATTAGCTTTTTTACACAGTAATGCAAATACTTTAATATATATTTGTGATGATCATGGTATTTTAATTTAGGCCTGAAACATAAGATTTTTGTAATTCAAATCCTAGTATGAAAATCTCAATCTATGCTTAAAAATAAAATTCCCCGTACATCTCTTTAAAGATAATGAGAGTATTATGGACCTAAGCATTCACTTTTATTTTTATGGACTGATTATCTGGATTGTCTTGTGAATGCTTTTTATACATGATTACAATGGTTTCCATGATGTCATACAAAACATTCAGATCTTGTTGTCGTTCAGTCACTAAGTTGTGTCCTACTCTTTATGATCCCATGATCGTAACACGACAGGCTCCTCTGTCCTCCACTGTCTTTTGGAGTTTGCCCAAATTCTCGTTCGTTGTGTCAGTGACACTATCTAACCATTTCATCCTCTGCTTTCCACTTCTCCTTTTGCCTTCAATCTTTCGTTCAGGTCTTATATTGGAGTTATTCACCTTATTGTAGTATTTTAGCACTATATATAGTGAGAGAAAAAGTATTTGATCCCCTGCTGACTTTGTACGTTTGCCCACTGACAAAGAAATGATCAGTCTATAATTTTAATGGTAGGTTTATTTTAACAGTGAGAGATAGAATAACAACAAAAAAATCCAGAGAAATGCATTTCAAAAAAGTTATAAATTGATTTGAATTTTAATGTGAAATAAGTATTTGACCCCTTCACAAAACATGACTTAGTACTTAGTGGCAAAACCCTTGTTGGCAATCACAGAAGTCAGATGTTTCTTGTAGTTGGCCACCAGGTCTGCATACATCTCAGGAGGGATTTGTCCCACTCCTCTTTGTAGATCCTCTCCAAGTCATTAAGGTTTCGAAGCTGACATTTGGCAGCTTGAACCTTCAGCTCCCTCCACAGATTTTCTATGGAATTAAGGTCTGGAGACTGCTTCTTCTTGAGCCACTCCTTTGTTGCCTTGGCCGTGTGTTTTGGTCATTGCCATGCTGGAATACCCATCCATGACCCATTTTCAATGCCCTGGCTGAGGGAAGGAGGTTCTCGCCCAAGATTTGACGGTACATGGCCCTGTCCATCGTCCCTTTGATGCAGTGAAGTTGTCCTGTCCCCTTAGCAGAAAATAAACCCAAAGCATAATGATTCCACTTCCATGTTTGTTGGTGGGGATGGTGTTCTTGGGGTCATAGGCAGCATTCCTCTTCCTCCAAACACGGTGAGTTGAGTTGATGCCAAAGAGCTCGATTTTGGTCTCATCTGATCACAACAATTTCACCCAGTTTTCCTCTGAATCATTCAGATGTTCATTGGCAAACTTCAGACAGGCCTGTACATGTGCTTTCTTGAGCAGGGGGTTAGGGTTAGGGATTTCAGTCCTTCATGGCGTAGTGTGTAACCAATTGTTTTCTTAGTGACTATGGCCCCAGCTGCCTTGAGATCATTGACAAGATTTTCCCATGTAGTTCTGGGCTGATTACTCACCATTCTCATGATCATTGAAACTCCACAAGATGAGATCTTGCATGGAGCTTCAGACCAAGGGAGATTGACAGTTATTTTGTGCTTCTTCCATTTGCGAATAATTGCACCAACTGTTGTTACCTTCTCACCAAGCTGCTTGGCGATAGTCTTGTAGCCCATTCCAGGCTTGTGTAAGTCTACAATCTTGTCCCTGACATCCTTGGACACCTCTTTGGTCTTGGCCATGGTGTCGAGTTTGGAATCTGATTGATTGATTGCTTCTGTGGACAGGTGTCTTTTATACAGGTAAAGAGCTGAGATTAGGAGCACTGTATAAAAGACACCTGGGAGCCAGAAGTCTTACTGATTGATAGGGGATCAAATACTTATTTCACTCATTAAAATGCAAATCAATTTATAATTTTTTTGAAATGTGTTTTTCTGGATTTTTTTATTGTTATTCTACCTCTCACTGTTAAAATAAACCTACCATTAAAATTATAGACTGATCATTTCTTTGTCAGTGGGCAAACGTACAAAATCAGCATGGGATCAAATACTTTTCCCCCTCACTGTATGAATTGAATGCCATTATAAGTGTTCATGCCTAATTGACCTTAGCTGAACTCTGAAAGCTAGCCAGGTTCAGATCTGATTAATTCTTAGATAGAACTTTAAGAAATATCAGGGCTAGTCATGAGGTTGGGAAAAAAATTCCTACAAAGTGGCAGGAGCAACCACTTCCATATTTTTGCCAAGAAAATTATTTGGATGTGTTCATGAAGTCATTAAGTTAATTTTGTCAAATCAGTGGGTGGTAGTAAAACTCATTTGAATTCCCTTGTTGAAGTTAAAATTAGGGATGAAACTTTATTTTTAACTATGTTCAACATGATTGCATCTCTGTATGTATAGATAACTTTAAAACTATATAGTTTCAGTATGGGATGACTTACATGCCTTCTGAGGTGAGGAATTAGCTAATCTCTTAAATGTAAATTGTCATCTCAACTTCTGATGGGTCCTTATTCCATAGGTTAGTTCCATAATGGAATATGAAGTGTACAGTTTTTTCCTTGGTATGTAATAGATATTTTTAGAAGTGTTCACAATCCAAATTGGATAAGAAACAATGGTTGGAAACTGATCAAAGAGAAAAGCAACCTGGAATTAAGGAGAAACTTCCTGACAGTGAGGACAATTAACCAGTGGAATAGCTTGCCCCCAGAAATCGTCGGTGCTCTATCACTGGAGATTTTTTAAAAGAAGCTAGACAGTGACTTGTCTGAGATGGTATAGGTTCTCCTGCTTGAGCAGGGGGCTGGACTAGAAGACCTCCAAGATCCCTTCCATATTCTATTCTAATCTAATCTAATCTAATATGATTGTGTGTTTATTTTGAGCATCTGACGTCATAGAGAAATGTGCAGGAACAACAATGATAGTTATAGATTTCTAAAGGTCTGGTTTTATATGATCTTTAATCTATATTTCTGAAATGCATTACTTGGGTCTATCAGTACAGGATACCTCTTCCAGATATAAATTATGTGCCTTGTTCTGACCTACTTACCCTGATGCAGTTGCCAGGCGTGGAAGAATCTGAAAGTTCAAGCCCCCTCCACACATTCGAAGAAAGGGTTGGTTGGCATTTTCATGTCCCACATTCCTTGCAGTACATACAAACAAAAGTCTCATTGAACTTCTCACATGCTCTGGGGTCTGGACTGCCTTCAACCAAAAAAGGTCTTAGCTTTATTGTGAATAGGTTAATGACTATGCGGGGAAAAAAACCCTCTTCCTATTAGGAATCATTAGAAAAGGAAGTGAAAATAAAATTGCTTCTTTACAGAAATCAATGATACTTATGCATCTAGAATACTGGGTATTGTTCTGGTTGACACATGGAACTTGGTTGTTCTTATATATTTATTTGCAGTTCTAGAGTTTATGTTTACTTTATTAGTGATGGAGTTTAAGGGACAAAAACAGAACAGTGAATGACTTTAGCCTTGTTAAGCATTTTGTTATCTACAGTATAACTCATAGTATGTGAATGGTCCAGATAATTCTACTATTGTTGCATGGGGAATATTTGAAGAAGGCCTTCATAAATGTAGCTGTATATATAGGTGACTTCAACAAAGCCTGGACCTTGCATTAGTAATAATATCCATATAGGCTTTCTCTAAATATAGAAATGTTTGCAGAAAACATTTGTGTAGTGGAGTCAGCACTTAGCAGAATGTTCACATGGTGAATGCTCCAGTTATTGTAAAAAGTGATCAGGACTTTGATGCAAAGGTGAAGAATTGGATCAGTGACTATATGTTCCTCTACTGCAGTGTTTCTCAACCTTGACAATTTTAAGGCATGTGGACTTCAACTCCCAGAATTCCACAGCCAGCAAGGCTGGCTGTGGAATTCTGGGAGTTGAAGTCCACATGCCTTAAAATTGTCAAGGTTGAGAAACACTGCTCTACTGTCTGTAGGAAATAAATAATAGTGTCTATGGAGATTCTCAATCATCCAGGTCATGGTTGTCCCAAATGTGCTTTTCAAATGGCAACTGCATTTTCTTTGTTTTTTTCTTGAAGTCATTTCACTTCTCATCCCAGAAGCTTCTTCAGTTTTGAAAAGCATATTTGGGATAATAATAGTGTCACATTTCCAATACTAAAGAATTTTGAAACTTGAATGGTTTTTTCATGGTGTTAATAACCTTTAATTACAGTATTTGTGAGATTTTTAAAGGCAGAATTCTGCTCATAAATGTGTGAACTACACTTCCTAAATAGATGTGCATTTGGAACTGGAAGAGCGACTTGCCAGATTTATGAAGACCGAGGAAGCTATCCTGTATTCCTATGGATTTGCTACAATTGCCAGTGCTATTCCTGCCTATTCAAAACGGGGCGACATTTTGTTTGTGTATGTACACATTCCTGATATTAAAAAGACAAAAAGAGTCTGCAGAGAATTCTAGTTGTTAAAGATTAAATGTTTAAACATTAATTTTATGATCAAGTAAGATTACTGAATGTATTAATTAGCATATGGTTATTTAATAAGCTTGTTTAGCATAAGGTTTTAGTGAAATTATGGATAATTTTTCAAAACTCATTTAAATTATTTAAGAACTCTCATTTGATCTTGTCAGTTTCAAAGCAGTGCCTTGATACTTTCAGATGCTTGTTAAACTGCAATTTTAATCATTTATGAAATACTTTTAAAATGACTACTTCTTACAATAGATTGCTGTTTCAAAATAAACTCTCTTAAAAATTACTAGCAGCTGTTCAAATGCTTTGTCAGTATTCCCATTGGATACAGCCGAGGAAAAAGTGCAGTTGACAAGAGTGATTAAAATAAATTAATATCAGACAAGAATTTCATCTTGGAAAATTTTGTTAAATTGCTTATGTTTGTCCTGAGCCTGTAACTATAATCTTACACATATTCTCAAAAGTAAATACAACTGAATTCAATCAAATTTGTTCTCAAGAAGGTGTGTAGGAATAGAGCTTGAGTATTTTTTTTTCCTGATCTGTGAAACCTAAGAATGCACAAACTTTGCTGGGCCCAAGGGCAGCACTTTGAATGTTGAAGGAACCTCATTCCAAAAGTACTGAAGCCAGTCAAATCTTCATTTTTTCCCAATGCATAGACACAGGAGGCTTACAGTAAAACATAATATCTATAACTAAAACCCATTATGATATCAATGAATCAATTAAAATTAGCAGTAAAATTGATTAAAATTAGAATTAAATTGCAAAAAAAAAAAAAAATTAGGCCCAAAGGCACAGTGAAATAATACTGTTTCTGAGGTGCCACCCTCATCTCAGGGAGAAGAATGTTCCACAGATCAAAAAACCGGCTGCATAATGCCTGCCAAATGTAGTTCCCTAAATGACTTAACCCATAGCATGCCTTCTTATTAGATGACGTATGATATTATATATCACATCATATATCATAAAGCGTGCGTGGCTGACGAATTCTGGGAGTTGAAGTCCGCACGTCATAAAAGGGCCAAGTTTGAAGACCCGTGCCTTAACTATTGTTGAAACCATACATTCTAGGTTTCTCTTTTTTTAACCAACTAGACCTGATTTGTCTCTCTAAGATGCCAACATGGGCAAACGTTTTCCTTTAAGAACTTTGCCTACATGGCTTGCAGAAATATAACAATTCTTCATAACTTTTTAACGCCTGAACATAGTTCAATTAAAAGTAGGAATGCAAGTGTAGAAAATAGTTAGACAACACCCACCAATATCTTAGCATTCATTGTGGGAAAACGTCAATCTTTTAAGAGTTAGCCTAAACTGTCAGCGAACTAAAAAAAATGGTGTATTTACAGTGATGAAGCAGCCTGCTTTGCTGTTCAGAAAGGGCTCCAAGCGTCCAGAAGTAACATTAAGTTTTTTAAGCATAACGATATGGCTGATCTTGAGCATCTACTACAAGAGCAAGAGATTGAAGATCAAAAGGTATCGGTTTCAGAAGAAATTAATGTATAACGAGCAACATTTTACGTACATAGCCTATTTGAATAACTTCATTTTTATTTATCTTCTAAACCAGCGGTTCTCAACCTATGGGTCGCGACCCCATTTGGGATCGATCGACCATTTCACGGGGGTCGCCAAGCAAGGCTGTCCGCCATTTTTTTTCCCTTTTCCGGTGGCTGCCTTACCTCCCTTGGGCTGGGCCAGCTGGTGGTTGGCCTGCTCCGTCTCTGCCGCTTGCCAGCTACGCCTCGGCCGGTGCAGGGGGCGGAACCACGCATGCGCGGCGCTCCCAGGCAGGGAAAGTCCTCGACTTACAACCGGTTGGGTAGTCCTCGACTTACGATTGGTTTAGTCCTCGACTTACAACCGGTTGGGGGTCGCGGCATTAAAAAGGTTGAGAACCACTGTTCTAAACTATCCTGAAAGCTGATATGTAACATTTGAAATAAATTTAGGTGCTGTATTTAATTTGATGACTGCATTGCTTGGAAAAGGCAGTGACATAACAAACATGAGAAAAAGCTGCCAGTAGAATTGGATACAGTTTTCCTTTTATTTTGTACATAAGTGCATGTGCTCAGCCACAGTGTCACTGATAAGGCAGTGCAAAAATGCTCAGAAAATTATTTTGTTCCTGAGAAAAATAGTAGATAGAAATTCTTCGTACCATACTCCTCCTCTGGGTAAAATGCTTATTGAAGTAAAGCTACATTAACATTTGTTTTATAAGGCCAAAAAAACCCCCGAAGTAACCATTTTAATGATATACGTGTTAAGAGCGTTTTACTGTGTATGGACATTTTCTCAGTTACAAATGGGCTTATTGCACTTCTGATAAAGTAAATATAAGTTGATTTTCAACATTCTATCTGCTTTTAATAACTTTTAAAAAGTAAGCTAAAAAGTTGTTTTTCATAAACAAATTATACGTATATATATTCATACTAAATTGTTTGTTTTTCTGCAGAACCCTCGAAAAGCCCGTGTAACACGAAAATTTATTGTGGTAGAGGGGTTGTTTATTAATACTGGGGATATTTGTCCTCTGCCAGAATTGGTAAGTAATTTCTTCTTTTAATATCTAGTTAACTTTTACAGACTGCAAATCTAAAAAATGAAGAAAGTAGTAAATTGCTTACTAAAAGTGGAATCAATCTTCTATAAATAGATATTAAGTGGTGGCCTTCCCTATGCCAGCTTTGATGCTGGTGCCAATAAGATGAGGGCTGATACAGAGGGCAGAAGCAGAAACTGGGTAACAGCAAGTCAGAAGATAATATTTCTTGTCCTGATTCTGCTGCATTTCATTCTCTTCTCCTGTTGAAAAAAGTTATTTAATGTTCAGATGTTTGCCATAATTTAAAGACTTGGATTATGAGGGTCAGTCCCTGGATTTTCTACTCTTTAGGCAAAGTAGTAAGAATATTTTACAACCGTATGCTAAGTGTTCCCCCAAAGAAAAGTCAAAGAATTCAGCATCAAATCATCCAGCATTAGAAAATCTCAATTTCTTAAAATTGAGTACCTACTTATGATTTTGAAAAAGCAGGTTTAAAATCTTAGCTACTGCAACATCCGAAAGGATGAGTTCACTAAGAGCTATACAGCAATGAGAGAATGTGTCAGTGGCCTCTGTAGCCTAGTACAATTTCCACTAACTTGAAGCAGCAGCAGATTCCACTAATTAAGAAAACACTTTCACGACTGTCAAGTTTATGTAACATAAATAAATTCAGTTTCTTGGCAAAGGAATACTTCTTCATAGAACATAAATATTGAAAGGTCTGCATTCCTGGAGTCATTTTATACTGAGGATGTTGGCTATAAATGGTGCTTTTAAAAACATTTCCTCTGATTAGCTACTCAAGATTCTATTTTTTTCCATAACACAACATGTTATGAGAAAATGTATTATAATGTGTCTCTGCACTTTGAAGGATGTCCTCCTCTCAAACCTCAAGGGAACTGGCAAAAGAGAACAATTAAAAATATAAACATCACAAAAGGCGATTTGTCTTACTAAGCAAGTAGCTTTGATGTTATTTTACTTGGACCACAAAAAGTCAATTTAAAAGAAAAAAAATGGTTCTAGAACAGAGGTGTCAAATTCAATTTCATTGAGGGCCGCATCAGCATCGAGGTTGCCCTCAGGGGGCTGGGTGGGTGTGGCCAGGGTGGGTGCAGCCTACTGGGTGGGTGTGGATGGAGTGGGTGTGACCTACTGGGTGGGTGTGGCCAGCTCTACATCGTTCACGTCAAGGGTGCCTGTGGGGGCCTGGGCAGGAGTGGGATAGATCTGAGGGTTTCTGGCAGGAGGGGGAGGGACCGGAGCAAGTGCCAAGGCATGGTCCACTGGAGGAGCCTCACTGTTCCTCTCAGGCCATGCGGGGTGTGTGTGTCTTATGGAGCTAAGACTGAATGCGTTTCAGCATAGATGGCCACCACAAAATTGTACATTGGCTCCCAGCTGGCCTGGGCCATGGCCAGCTGGGGCCGTTCCCTCACTGTTTCCAGGATGGCTTCACGGGCCACATGAAACCACTTCGCGGGCCGCATCCGGCCCCCGGGCCTCGTGTTTGACATGTCTATTCTAGAAGAAAGAATCTGTTCATTGGCACATAATTAGTAGAAATCTACATCTAGTAACTAAAATGCATGAATGTTGAGTGTCTAGATCATGGTTGTCCTAAAGGTTCTTTTTTCAAAAGGTGACTGGACTTTCTTGGGTTTTTTTTTCCCCTTTGAAGCTTCTATGGTTCTAACTGGATAAGAAGCGGAACATTTTCGAAGGGGAAAAGCCAAGAAAATCCAGTTGCCTTTTGAAAAAAGCACCTTTGAGACATGAAGGTTAAGTGTTGAGCTGAAGACAGTCAATAATAGAATATTTTGAGAAGCCGTAGTGGCACAATAGTTAAAATGCAGTATTACAGGCTAACTCTGCCCACCGCTTGGAGTTCGATTCTGACGGGACTCAAGGCTGACTCAGCCTTCCATCCTTCCGAGCTTGGTAAATTGAGAACCCAGAGTATTGGGGGCAATATGCAAATAATACTTCCACATTGTAAACCGGCCATAAGTGCTGTAAAGTGCTATCGGGCAGCATATAAGCCAAAACGCTATTGCTATTGCTATTTTGATTCTAACACGGGAGGACTTGTAAATAATTAGTACGTAACGAAACACAGTAAACAATTACGTATTAGACGTCCATCTCAATTTTATGTTTATGTTTCACTCTAACAAAAACCTTCTTTCAAAGAGGAAACCTCATAACCCTCTTGTACCTGCTCCTCAATGTCTTGTAAAACCTTATTCACATTCAGATACTGTATAGATCATGATAGTAGAAGTTAATGTTAGGGACCAGAAAGTAAAAGTTTGATTTAATATCTTTTTTACAGTAGTATCTTAAAAGAAAATAAATAATTGTATAACATGTAGACCAGTGTTTCTCAACCTTGACAATTTTAAGGCATGTGGACTTCAACTCCCAGAATTCCACAGCTAGCTTTGCTGGCTGTGGAATTCTGGGAGTTGAAGTCCACATGCCTTAAAATTGTCAAGGTTGAGAAACACTGATGTAGACGATAGTCTTGTTTGTTGCTTGATGACCTCCATCCCTGCACTCCTGACTGCAGTTGTTAGGCAATCTTCCCAATTTTTATGCGTACAGAGTGAAGGAGCTGCTTGCTGAAGCTCTTTTGCTCTCAAACATTCCCCACTGAAGGATTTCAGCTTCCCCTCCATGCACAGAGAGGAAAAACTTCAGGGGACACCATTTCAGAAGGATCCGAAAGTTGAGAACCAGCCTCAAATGGGGAAATGCTATGCCATCCAAGACAATGATGAAAATGTCCCCAATCCAAGGAGTCAAACAGCCACAGCTGCTCAATCTTGCCAGGTTTTAGTCAAAGTCTGTTCCACCCCATTCAGACCTGAACAGTCTCCAGACATTGGGTCAACAACCAACAACCTCACTTGAGCAATGTGGAGTTCAGCTATAAAGCTGGCATTGTCAGTATACTGCACCCCGAACCGACAGATAACTTTAAATTACTCTATTCTATGCAGTAGTCAAGAAATGGCACTGTACACTCTGCCGGAAAATCCTGTTATTTCATGCTCTTTAACTGAAATTGTGGAACCCATGGTTTACAATATAAGCTGTATTTAAACAGTTCATAAAACACATGTAGCACAATTGTGGGACAGCATAAAAACTCCAAACTTGTGAATTTTTTCCCTATCTTGTACTAAAGAAGTATCATAGTATCTGATTTTTCTATATATAATATTCTGTTTTAAAGGAGAGAGGAAAATAAATTTAGAACTGTCTCAACTACATTTAGCTATTTTAGATCTTGATGGGTAGAATAAGAAACTTCAAATGGATATTTCTTGTAACGTACTGTCATTCATTAAGTATTTTTAGTATTATTTAGCTGTACATGACTAAACTCATTCTTACCAACTGTATGACTGAAACCATGCTTTCACTTTTTAACATTAAGCAATTGACATTTTTGTGTTAGATTGATGACATTGATCTTATAAGTGCAAATATGGAAAATTCCCTGGCTTCTATTGGAGGATTTTGCTGTGGACGATCCTTTGTTATTGACCACCAGGTATGTGAAAAACCTTGAAAGACAAACTGTGTCAGAGTTATCTCTTTGTGGAGCTCTGTAGCCAATGTAGGTATTTATTTGTATGCTTATGTATCGATTGATTGTTACAATTATATCCCATTGCAATCAGATAAGACCCTTGGTGATTCACAAGATGTATAAAGAATAACTGGGCTATAATAAGTCTAAATAAAAACACATATAATCAATTTAAAAACCCATAAGAACAATCAGACATCAGAGAGCAGGAAACACAATATGGTCATGTTGAGCCACATATATGCCTTATGGCTGATTCTGCATTTTAAGCACTCCATGAAATAGCAGTTTTTACCATTTTCATGAATTAAATCGGGAAGGTGGCCCATCTACTAAAAGGCTGCCCCAGTGGGCTCCGTTGAAAAGCAGCATCATTTAGTTTGAACTCCTTTGCAGGTAGTCCTCAACTTATGACTACAGTTGAGCCCAAATTTTCCATTTATGACCTTGCAGCCATCATAAATGCAGGCCAGTTGCCAAGTGGCTGAATTTTGATCACATGTCCAGGGGGATGTTGCATAAGTGTGAAAAACGGTTATAAGTCTTTTTCAGTGCCATTGTAATTTGGGACTGTCACTAAACGAAGTCAAGGACCACCTGTACTTCATAGAAATGAGAAACTATTAACTGTTTTCTCCTAACAGGATCTTTTTTGGGGAGGCTTATTTCTGTTAGAAGTTTTAGGGTGAACATGAATATACATCCTCTCAGTCTTGTACCTATTTGCTACAAATTGCTTGCTCTGCATGTTGTCAATTCAGAATTATATCCATTGTTGGCAGGCACTGAACTTTGGGGAAAAATTATATTAATATCAGATGCTGAGAAGTAGCTTTTATTTGGTACTGAAGAATTAATGCACCGTCCTTGCCAAGAACGAACTGCCTTGACATGTTGTAGCTGACATGTGACATGTGGGGAGAAGAGATAACTAGAAGGATATTACAATAACAGATAATTGTTCTGTTCCTTTTCTGATCTAATGACCTCAATTATCATTGATATTAGGCTTGTTATATTCCCTTTGCAGGGACATGGAGGTTGTCTGTGTAGAAGATGGTTGTAACTGCCTAACATTTTTAAGTATTGCACATTGAGATTTTTGGGACATGTTTGAAAGTGATCTATGCTATGTATGTAGCTTTTGGCAGTGTTGGCAAATATACAGTTTTGAATCAATCAAACCAAGACCTTTAAATATAGATGTTGCCAATAAAAATGTAGATGCAGCTATATATATTAACTGTTGTATTTACAGAGATAAATATTATTGTATTTCTCAAATACTTTTGAAATAGAAAAATTAAGATAGATTTAATAAGTGTTAATACAGATATATAAGAGCCAGTTTAGTGTAGTGGTTCAGGCTGGAAACCGGGAGACTGTGAGTTCTAGTCTCCCTTTAGGCATAAATCCAGCTGGGTGATCTTGGAGTAGATCAGGAGTAGGCAACCTTGGCTCTTTTATGACTCGTGGACTTCAGCTCCCAGAATTCCTGAGCCAGCATGGTTGCCTACCCCTGGACTAGTCACTCTCTTTCGGCTTTAGGAAGAAGGCAGTGACAAAACACTTGTGAAAAAACTTGCCAAGGCAACTATAGGGACTTGTCCTGGCAATCGCTGAGAATCAGACATGATTGAACGGAAGGGGGGAAAAAAGCATACTTATTTATGATTGCAATGTATATGTTGCTTAAGCTAGCAAGAGCCAAATTAGATAAAATACATAACTAACTCATTGCTGTCCTTTTGGATAAAATGTTCTTAAATTCAGATTTTTCTTCCTTTCAATTAAACAAAGAGTTGTATATTTACCGGTAGGTTCTGCATATAAATAATACTGGATGTTTTACTCCTTTAATATTATTGCTTTTGTTCTCAGAGGCTGTCCGGCCAAGGCTATTGCTTTTCAGCCTCTCTGCCTCCTCTTCTAGCGGCCGCTGCCATTGAAGCTCTCAATATCATGCAAGAAAATCCAGGTAATTTTTCTAGAAGTTAATAATTTTAGAGAATCAAGCCATGTTTTGAAAAGTACTTGAGCTTTGAGAGATACACATTCATACCTTGGCATGGATTTACTGGGTGGTTTTGACTGTCAATCACAGTTGCCTGTAAGGTAACGTTGGATTGCAGTTCATATTCGACTTGAACTGAAAGTCTTCAGAATGATGTCTATATTTCATACACACACACTTAAATTCACTTGTGTCAGTCTTAATTGCAGTGAGGAATGCATAACGTTGTAACAGAGTTTGCAGATAATACATGTTTATATAAAAAAAATCATCTTAGCAGTTTAACTGACTGTAAGAAATGTTCAAAGAGTTTCATTTCATGCACTGCAACCATAGAAGAGAGAACATTTGAAAAATACTATTATGTCCTCCACTCAGTAATTTGCCAAGACTAAAATATACCTAAATCCTTTGTCTTTCTTCATAGAGGTTAATTTTTAGTTCCATGAACATCTGCAACACCCTTTCTTTGAACTTGGACCATTTTCTCTGAATCCTTGTTAAAAGGTGGTACTCAAAACTGTTCACAATAGACAAAGCGAGATCAACCAAAGGAAAGTGGACGATGACTTCCCATAATTTAGAAATTATACTTAGTTGACGAAGCCCAAAATTGAACTTTTTCTCCTTTTTTGGCGCTAGGAATAGCATTTGTTTTTCTTAATTCATCTGGCACTTCATCAGTTCTTCAGGATTCTCCATAAGTAATATACTTGCGTTTACCCTGACTTTCACCTGATTATGCCAACATTTTGGTGTAATTCATCTGATTCTGGAGATTTTGTTTAAATCTCTAGAATCAGATGAATTATACCAAAATTTTGGCATAATTCAAAGTAAAGACATATTCCCTGACCACATTTTTTAAATAGATCTACTTTTCTTCATTTTGCCTCTATTGGCCAAGTTGTATTCTTTTCTATCTTTTTATTTTGAAAATATCTACATTCTTTCTTTTAATTTTTTTTTTGATATCTTCCACTATCTTTGACTCATTATGGAATTTGACTTTCCCAGTGCCATCTCCACAGATCTACAATAGGTAACCTATTTGTAGTCTTCCTTTTTGAAGGCTTTCCAACCCTCTTTTCATTTCTTATATAGATCTTTTTTTTTCTTTTCTGAAGCTTTTTATGTAGCTTCTTTTGCTATCTATCCTATGTTTTCCTCCTTTCTGGATTTCTTTGCAGTTTTGGTTTTTGGTATCTCCTTTAACACAGCTGGTTGGCTGAGGAATTCTGGGAGTGGAAGTCCACACATCATCAAGTGGCCAAGCTTGAGAAACACTGCCCTAGGCTATTTTTCTAATTAGCTGGATGGGTTTTTCTCCTGTCACAGGATAGTACTTAGCATTGCTCTGAACTTACCAAAATCCACTTTTTTGAACATTCATCTTATTTTTGAGTAGTTTTATTTTCCTTTAAAATCAGGATTGTATAGGTATTTTCCTCCAATGTTTCTGCCACTTCCATTTTCTCCATTAAGCTTTCTCTCTTGATTGGTATACAGTTAAGGATAGCTAATCATTTTCTACCTTCTTAGACTTTTGAGGGAGAATGTTGTCAGCAAGGCAAGTCAGGAATTTCCTGGATGGATTGTGCTCTCTCAGGGAAATTAAAAATATCATTACTACAAATTCATTACCTCTTTGCAAGTTCTACAGTTTGCTTTCATAAAACTTCATTCATGGCTCCTCCTTTTTAGGAAGGTGAATAATAGACACAAACAACAGTATTGCTTAACTCGTTCCTGCACTTATTTTAACTTATAACATTAGCAAATTCATTGATTTAGATATTTGAGGAATGGATATCATTAATATACTGCTCAGCCTTTTCTCTGTTCTATTGCTTCTATTCCTTTCAAACAAATAGTATCCTTCACTTCCTGTATTCCAGTTGTGGGATTCATCATATTCCTCAACAGCGGAGCCGCCTAAACAAGTCATAGTACAGAGGGCTTTTCAGAATATCCAAAAGGGATGGGGCTGATCTAGTTTCAGAGGGAAGAGGGAAGAATGTTTCATAGGGCAGACACAAGGGCAGAGAAGAGATGTATTTGTATATTTTCTCTTATGACACTGGAAAGGTAAAAGACAGGAAGAATGAACAAATTGCAATCTAGTCTTAAATAGCTATTTAAATTGGTATGTCGTGTTTAACCAATTAAACTGATATTCAAGGATTTTTTTGTTTATTTTTTGTTTAGGTATTTTTCAGGTTTTAAGACAAAAATGTAAGCAAATATACAAAGCTTTACAAGGGTAAGTAAATTCATTGTCATCTCATTTAATACTTGACTTTAACGAGAAAAATGGCTTTTGAAGAGAGTACAATAATGGAAACATTTACTGTTTTAAGCTCTACATTTAAGCTACTTTAGTAAGAACAACTGCTTTTTACTATAGCTATAGCCTAGAGTGGTGTAATTAAAAAAACTCAACTCAAAATATTTTTGAGTTGAAAACAGTTTATTGTAGTACAGTGTAGGCTATACTTTCTTACTATATTTAGAGATTTAGAAATTTTCAAAAAATAAGTATTGCAGGTATTTTGATGATACTCTAGACATGTATTATAAATTGTAATGCATAATAAACATATATAAAAAGTAGTTTTTAGGCAACCACAGCTAGTTTTCCAATGGAAGTTGCATTATTATCAGAAAATACAACATTAATAACAGAAATGCAATAGATCTTAAACGAATGTTGGGACACAATTAAGATATAGTTAGTTTAAAAAACAGGTTTCTTACTACTAAGAAACTTACTATCTTATTGAAAAATATCCCATTTGAATTAAGGAGGCTTAGCTCCTGTATTAATGCAGAGACTATTGACCAGATCTGAGGTGCAGTTATTTGAACCTCTCTTGTGTGAAAATCATGCCTGTGTATCCCAGGATATTTTGAACAAGAAATGTCAGGTTACAGTCCTCTGAGTCTTGATTAGGGCTTTTGCAGTTCTTATCCATCAATCTGTACTTGGTTTCTCCTTTAAAGCTCTAAAACAAAATGGAAAATATTTTGTTTCAGACCTAAAACCAAAATATCATATTCCAGATGTTCTGCAGAACTGTACTGGATCAGCCATAGTTCAGCACGAACAACAAAACCTAGAATTATTTTTGCTACCAATTTTGTTTGAAATCATACCTGGAAGGATGTTGTCATGATTTTTATGGGGTAGTGGAGCTCTCTCTTCCCCCAGTTATATGTTCCAACATATCTTACTAAATGGCCATGTCCTACATCTTCCCAAATATTCCCTTATGTACATTTTCCCCTTCCATGTTTCTCATCAGGCACTGATGTTCCAGCCTGATATAACTCATCATTCCTCCTGCACCTTGAACTTCCCAACCTAGCTTTTTCTTTTGTGCTATCCTGCCTCTTCTCAATTACCAAATATTCTTGCTTTTCTCACTTTTACTTTCCTCCAGACACATTTTCCTGGAATTGGGGGGGGGGGTTGAAGTTTATATCCAAAACAAAACGCTCTTGCTTTGTTTTCACATCCAGACTAAATACGCATGTTCGAGCATCAATCACCCCAAACTAGCTGTACCCTGCACAGAACAATTTGGGCATAAATCATTTGGCATATTTCTGTTTTAACCCCAATATTTTGATACATTTTTTTTCTCACGTACAGTATGTTTTCATTGGGTAAAAGTTGTGTGGATTTCCACTGTGTTCCTGGTGAACAGTGGCTCTCAAACATTTTGGCCTCAGGACCCCTTTCTTAAAATTCTTAAAAATGATTGAGGACCCAAAGAGTTTTGATTTATATGGATTACATCTATCGATATATACTATATTAGAAATTAAAACTGAGAAATGATAAAATATGTATCTGACTTTTTGACCCCCTGAAAGGCTCTCAGGGATCCCCGGGGTTTCCAGACCACACTTTGAGAACTGCTGCATTAGAATATGATCAGCTTGCTTATAAAAGCTAACTGCTGTTCTCTCACACACTCTAGTTGATNCGCAGCGGCACGACTCGGTCCAGTGCTGCGGCTGCGGCCACATCCCAGGCCGCAGCCTGATGTTCCGCCGAGTCGTGACCTAGCTCCACAGGATATGGCCCAAGCTCCGTCAGAAACCCCTCTGGGTCCATCAGGCGCCTGGGACGGAACCATCTAGGCGGTTCCGTCTCCCTGCGGCGAGGGGCCGCGGTCCGGAAGTGTGTACAGAGTGAAGGAGCTGAAGCTCTTTTGCTCTCAAACATTCCCCACTGAAGGATTTCAGCTTCCCTTCCATGCACAGAGAGGAAAAACCTCAGGGGACAACATTTCAGAAGGATCTGAAAGTTGAGAACCAGCCTCAAATGGGGAAATGCTATGCCACGCAAGACGATGATGAAAATGTCCCCAATCCAAGGAGTCAAACAGCCACAGCTGCTCAGTCTTGCCAGGTTTTAGTCAAAGTCTGTTCCACCCCATTCAGACCTGAACAGTCTCCAGACATTGGGTCAACAACCAACAACCTCACCTGAGCAATGTGGAGTTCAGCTATAAAGCTGGCATTGTCAGTATACTGCACCCTGAACCGACAGATAACTTTAAATTATTCTATTCTATGCAGTAGTCAAGGAATGGCACTGTACACTCTACCAGAAAATCCTGTTATTTCATGCTCTTTAACTGAAATTGTGGAACCCATGGTTTACAATATAAGCTGTATTTAAACAGTTCATAAAACACATGTAGCACAATTGTGGGACAGCATAAAAACTCCAGACTTGTGAATTTTTTCCCTTTCTTGTACTAAAGAAGTATCATAGCATCTGATTTTTCTATATATAATATTCTGTTTTAAAGGAGAGAGGAAAATAAATTTAGAACTGTCTCAACTACATTGAGCTATTTTAGATCTTGATGGGTAGAATAAGAAACTTCAAATGGATACATGCGGTAATAGAAATGTGAACTGTATTTTTCTTTCTTGTAACGTACTGTCATTCATTAAGTATTTTTAGTATTATTTAGCTGTACATGACTAAACTCATTCTTACCAACTGTATGACTGAAACCATGCTTTCACTTTTTAACATTAAGCAATTGACATTTTTGTGTTAGATTGATGACATTGATCTTATAAGTGCAAATATGGAAAATTCCCTGGCTTCTATTGGAGGATTTTGCTGTGGACGATCCTTTGTTATTGACCACCAGGTATGTGAAAGACCTTGAAAGACAAACTGTGTCAGAGTTATCTCTTTGTGGAGCTCTGTAGCCAATGTAGGTATTTATTTGTATGCTTATGTATCGATTGATTGTTACAATTATATCCCATTGCAATCAGATAAGACCCTTGGTGATTCACAAGATGTATAAAGAATAACTGGGCTATAATAAGTCTAAATAAAAACACATATAATCAATTTAAAAACCCATAAGAACAATCAGACATCAGAGAGCAGGAAACACAATATGGTCATGTTGAGCCACATATATGCCTTATGGCTGATTCTGCATTTTAAGCACTCCATGAAATAGCAGTTTTTAACGTTTTCATGAATTAAATCGGGAAGGTGGCCTGTCTACTAAAAGGCTGCCCCAGTGGGCTCCGTTGAAAAGCAGCATCATTCAGTTTGAACTCCTTTGCAGGTAGTCCTCAACTTAGGACTACAGTTGAGCCCAACTTTTCCATTTATGACCTTGCAGCCATCACAAATGCAGGCCAGTTGCCAAGTGGCTGAATTTTGATCACATGTCCAGGGGGATGTTGCATAAGTGTGAAAAACGGTTATAAGCCTTTTTCAGTGCCATTGTAATTTGGGACTGTCACTAAACGAAGTCAAGGACCACCTGTACTTCATAGAAATGAGAAACTATTAACTGTTTTCTCCTAACAGGATCTTTTTTGGGGAGGCTTATTTCTGTTAGAAGTTTTAGGGTGAACATGAATATACATCCTCTCAGTCTTGTACCTATTTGCTACAAATTGCTTGCTCTGCATGTTGTCAATTCAGAATTATATCCATTGTTGGCAGGCACTGAACTTTGGGGGAAAACTGTATTAATATCAGATGCTGAGAAGTAGCTTTTATTTGGTACTGAAGAATTAATGCACCGTCCTTGCCAAGAACGAACTGCCTTGACATGTTGTAGCTGACATGTGACATGTGGGGAGAAGAGATAACTAGAAGGATATTACAATAACAGATAATTGTTCTGTTCCTTTTCTGATCTAATGACCTCAATTATCATCGATATTAGGCCTGTAATATTCCCTTTGCAGGGACATGGAGGTTGTCTGTGTAGAAGATGGTTGTAACTGCCTAACATTTTTAAGTATTGCACATTGAGATTTTTGGGGCATGTTTGAAAGTGATCTATGCTATGTATGTAGCTTTTGGCAGTGTTGGCAAATATACAGTTTTGAATCAATCAAACCAGGACCTTTAAATATGGATGTTTCCAATAAAAATGTAGATGCAGCTATATATATTAACTGTTGTATTTACAGAGATAAATATTATTGTATTTCTCAAATACTTTTGAAATAGAAAAATTAAGATAGATTTAATAAGTGTTAATACAGATATATAAGAGCCAGTTTAGTGTAGTGGTTCAGGCTGGAAACCGGGAGACTGTGAGTTCTAGTCTCCCTTTAGGCATAAATCCAGCTGGGTGATCTTGGAGTAGACCAGGAGTAGGCAACCTTGGCTCTTTTATGACTCGTGGACTTCAGCTCCCAGAATTCCTGAGCCAGCATGGTTGCCTACCCCTGGACTAGTCACTCTCTTTCGGCTTTAGGAAGAAGGCAGTGACAAAACACTTGTGAAAAAACTTGTCAAGGCAACTATAGGGACTTGTCCTGGCAATCGCTGAGAATCAGACATGATTGAACGAAGGGGGAAAAAAGCATACTTATTTATGATTGCAATGTATATGTTGCTTAAAGCTAGCAAGAGCCAAATTAGATAAAATACATAACTAACTCATTGCTGTCCTTTTGGATAAAATGTTCTTAAATTCAGATTTTTCTTCCTTTCGATTAAACAAAGAGTTGTATATTTACCGGTAGGTTCTGCGTATAAATAATACTGGGAGTTTTGCTCCTTTAATATTATGACTTTTGTTCTCAGAGGCTGTCCGGCCAAGGCTATTGCTTTTCAGCCTCTCTGCCTCCTCTTCTAGCGGCCGCCGCCATTGAAGCTCTCAATATCATGCAAGAAAATCCAGGTAATTTTTCTAGAAGTTAGTAATTTTAGAGAATCAAGCCATGTTTTGAAAAGTACTTGAGCTTTGAGAGATACACATTCATACCTTGGCATGGATTTAGTGGGTGGTTTTGACTGTTAGTCACAGTTGCCTGTAAGGTAACGTTGGATTGCAGTTCATATTCGACTTGAACTGAAAGTCTTCAGAATGATGTCTATATTTCATACACACGTACTTATATTCACTTGTGTCAATCTTAATTGCAGTGAGGAATGCATAACGTTATAACAGAGTTTGCAGATGATACATGTTTATATAAAAAAAATCTTCTTAGCAGTTTAACTGACTGTAAGAAATGTTCAAAGAGTTTCATTTCATGCACTGCAACCATAGAAGAGAGAACATTTGAAAAATACTATTATGTCTTCCACTCAGTAATTTGCCAAGACTAAAATATACCTAAATCCTTTGTCTTTCTTCATAGAGGTTAATTTTTAGTTCCATGAACATCTGCAACACCCTTTCTTTAAACTTGGACCATTTTCTCTGAATCCTTATTAAAAGGTGGTACTCAAAACTGTTCACAATAGACAAAGCGAGATCAACCAAAGGAAAGTGGACGATGACTTCCCATAATTTAGAAATTATACTTAGTTGACGAAGCCCAAAATTGAACTTTTTCTCCTTTTTTGGCGATAGGAATAGCATTTGTTTTTCTTAATTCATCTGGCACTTCATCAGTTCTCCAGGATTCTCCATAAGTAATATACGTGAGTTTACCCTGACTTTCACCTGATTATGCCAACATTTTGGTGTAATTCATCTGATTCTGGAGATTTTGTTTAAATCTCCAGAATCAGATGAATTACACCAAAATTTTGGCATAGTTCAAAGTAAAGACATATTCCCTGACCACATTTTTTAAATGGATCTACTTTTCTTCATTTTGCCTCTATTGGCCAAGTTGTATTCTTTTCTATCCTTTTATTTTGAAAATATCTACATTCTTTCTTTTAATTTTTTTTTGATATCTTCCACTATCTTTGACTCATTATGGAATTTGACTTTCCCAGTGCCATCTCCCCAAATCTACAATAGGTAACCTATTTGTAGTCTTCCTTTTTGAAGGCTTTCCAACCCTCTTTTCATTTCTTATATAGATCTTTTTTTTTCTGAAGCTTTTTATGTAGCTTCTTTTGCTATCTATCCTATGCTTTCCTCCTTTCTGGATTTCTTTGCAGTTTTGATTTTTGGTATCTCCTTTAACACGGCTGGTTGGCTGAGGAATTCTGGGAGTTGAAGTCCACACATCATCAAGTGGCCAAGCTTGAGAAACACCGCCCTAGGCTATTTTTCTAATTAACTGGATGGGTTTTTCTCCTGTCACAGGATAGTACTTAGCATTGCTCTGAACTTACCAACATCCACTTTTTTGAACATTCATCTTATTTTTGAGTAGTTTTTATTTTCCTTTAAAATCAGGATTGTATGGTTATTTTCCTCCAATGTTTCTGCCACTTCCATTTTCTCCATTAAGCTTTCTCTCTTGATTGGTATACAGTTAAGGATAGCTAATCATTTTCTACCTTCTTAGACTTTTGAGGGAGAATGTTGTCAGCAAGGCAAGTCGGGAATTTCCTGGATGGATTGTGCTCTCTCAGGGAAATTAAAAATATCATTACTACAAATTCATTACCTCTTTGCAAGTTCTACAGTTTGCTTTCATAAAACTTCATTCATGGCTCCTCCTTTTTAGGAAGGTGAATAATAGACACAAACAACAGTATTGCTTAACTCGTTCCTGCACTTATTTTAACTTATAACATTAGCAAATTCATTGATTTAGATATTTGAGGAATGGATATCATTAATATACTGCTCAGCCTTTTCTCTGTTCTACTGCTTCTATTCCTTTCAAACAAATAGTATCCTTCACTTCCTGTATTCCAGTTGTGGGATTCATCATATTCCTCAACAGCAGAGCCGCCTAAACAAGTCATAGTACAGAGGGCTTTTCAGAATATCCAAAAGGGATGGGGCTGATCTAGTTTCAGAGGGAAGAATGTTTCATAGGGCAGACACAAGGGCAGAGAAGAGATGTATTTGTATATTTTCTCTTATGACACTGGAAAGGTAAAAGACAGGAAGAATGAACAAATTGCAATCTAGTCTTAAATAGCTATTTAAATTGGTATGTCGTGTTTAACCAATTAAACTGATATTCAAGGATTTTTTTGTTTATTTTTTGTTTAGGTATTTTTCTGGTTTTAAGACAAAAATGTAAGCAAATATACAAAGCTTTACAAGGGTAAGTAAATTCATTGTCATCTCATTTAATATTTGACTTTAACATGAAAAATGCCTTTTGAAGAGACTACAATAATGGAAACATTTACTGTTTTAAGCTCTACATTTAAGCTACTTTAGTAAGAACAACTGCTTTTTACTGTAGCTATAGCCTAGAATGGTGTAGTTAAAAAAACTCAACTCAAAATATTTTTGAGTTGAAAACAGTTTATTGTAGTACAGTGTAGGCTATACTTTCTTACTATAGAAATTTAGAAATTTTCAAAAAATAAGTATTGCAGGTATTTTGGTGATACTCTAGACATGTATTATAAATTGTAATGCATAATAAACATATATAAAAAGTAGTTTTTAGGCAACCACAGCTAGTTTTCCCTTGGAAGTTGCATTATTACCAGAAAATACAACATTAATAACAGAAATGCAATAGATCTTAAACGAAAGTTGGGACACAATTAAGATATAGTTAGTGTAAAAAACAGGTTTCTTACTACTAAGAAACTTACTATCTTATTGAAAAATATCCCATTTGAATTAAGGAGGCTTAGCTCCTGTATTAATGCAGAGACTATTGACCAGATCTGAGGTGCAGTTATTTGAACCTCTCTTGTGTGAAAATCATGCCTGTGTATCCCAGGATATTTTGAACAAGAGATGTCAGGTTACAGTCCTCTGAGTCTTGATTAGGGCTTTTGCAGTTCTTATCCATCAATCTGTACTTGGTTTCTCCTTTAAAGCTCTAAAACAAAATGGAAAATATTTTGTTTCAGACCTAAAACCAAAATGTCATATTCCAGATGTTCTGCAGAACTATACTGGATCAGCCATAGTTCAGCAGGAACAACAAAACCTAGAATTATTTTTGCTACCAATTTTGTTTGAAATCATACCTGGAAGGATGTTGTCATGATTTTTATGGGGTAGTGGAGCTCTCTCTTCCCCCAGTTATATGTTCCAACATATCTTACTAAATGGCCATGTCCTACATCTTCCCAAATATTTCCCTTATGTACATTTTCCCCTTCCATGTTTCTCATCAGGCACTGATGTTCCAGCCTGATATAACTCATCATTCCTCCTGCACCTTGAACTTCCCAACCTAGCTTTTTCTTTTGTGCTATCCTGCCTCTTCTCAATTACCAAATATTCTTGCTTTTCTCACTTTTACTTTCCTCCAGACACATTTTCCTGGAATTAGGGGGGGGGGTGAAGTTTATATCCAAAACAAAACGTTCTTGCTTTGTTTTCACATCCAGACTAAATACGCATGTTTGAGCATCAATCACCCCAAACTAGCTGTACCCTGCACAGAACAATTTGGGCATAAATCATTTGGCATATTTCTGTTTTAACCCCAATATTTTGATACATTTTTTTTCTCACGTACAGTATGTTTTCATTGGGTAAAAGTTGTGTGGATTTCCACTGTGTTCCTGGTGAACAGTGGCTCTCAAACATTTTGGCCTCAGGACCCCTTTCTTAAAATTCTTAAAAATGATTGAGGACCCAAAGAGTTTTGATTTATGTGGATTACATCTATCGATATATACTATATTAGAAATTAAAACTGAGAAATGATAAAATATGTATCTGACTTTTTGACCCCCTGAAAGGCTCTCAGGGATCCCCGGGGTTTCCAGACCACACTTTGAGAACTGCTGCATTAGAATATGATCAGCTTGCTTATAAAAGCTAACTGCTGTTCTCTCACACACTCTAGTTGATTGACCTTTTGTCTGAAAGGGCCGGTGTCTGTCTCTTTGCTTTGCTTATTCTTTTCTGACGAGATGTGTACTTGAGTCAGATGACAGTTTATTTTAAGTAACTGACGAAAGTAACATAGAAATCAACTTGAGGTTTGTATAGCAGCCTCTAGAAATTCAGACTATGTTTATTACAGAGTGTTGTTTGGCCAAAACCTGAAAACGTCAAAGCTTTGATTTGGCGAAGGTTCAAAGGTGTCTTCTCACATTACTCCAGCTATTCCTTTTACACCCATTATTTTAGTTTCTGAAATATTTTAACAGATTGTTTGGTTAGAAATGTCTGACTGAATTCAACAATCAGCATGCTTTGGAGAATATTGTATATTGATTTCACAATTTTCATCTTGCTGTTTACCAGTAACAGTGGCCCATAATAAAATAGTATTTTGTCTATTAGTAATTAAACGTATATGTTATTTTAATTCTGGACCTGCTGCTTTCTCATTATATATATATATGTTAAAAAATCATATTTATTGAACCAAGTGACAATTTGGCAATGTTTGTAATAATTTCTATAATTACCAACAGCACTCCATTGGGATTGTAAGTTCCCACATGATTACAAACCGATCTCAATTGATTGCATATTTATCACGAGCCTCTTGGATTCCATGTTGCTATTGAATTATTCTTCTTTAAATAGTGCACTTTTGTATACTATTGTAACATGTAAATAATCAAGAAATTTATCTTGTATAAAAATCTGAATAATAAAATATATTTTAGGCTCAAAATTGCCTATGTTTTAGATAATATTACATGCTTACATTGTGATCTTACATTGTGATCTTAATGTAGGTGCTGATTGTCTCTTGATAATGGCTTTCTGTTAATAAACAACTTTCATAACAAATGACTGCTATATTGCAAAATCACAGTAAATATACATTGGTAGCATTTTTATTCTGTTATCTTTTGGAATTAAGATTTTCTACAAGTAACCCCAGTCCCTTTCTAAAATAATGGGCTTAAGAGTCTTCATGCACATCTTTGCATTGAGTTTAAATAAACCATTTAGGACATTGTCCCTTTACTCTCAATTTTGATTTTGTTTATTTAATTCAGTTAATTAGATTAGCAGTTCTGTGTTGGCAATGCTTTTGTGAATAATTGGTAGCAGCAAAAATACATTTTAGGAAATGCCTTTTTTCTGTTCATCTTAGATTTAGAAGTATATTTTTGGCATATACAACTCTTAAGTGGCTCAGTGCCGTCATGACTTTCAACTTGTCAGTCATAGAGCAATAGCTTGTGTAGCAGTGGGAAAAGAGATAATTGCAGGAACAATGCCTAATCATACTGCTTCCATGGAGCATGTCCAAAAGTAGCATGGTTATGCCCCTTGGAATATCTAAAATTAGATGGTATCCCAGGAATATTACCATTCATCTAATCCGGGAATGTTTTTCTTTTGATGCTTAACAAGTACATATAGAAAAATACTGATATAGCTGACCTGAACAGGAGCAGAAAAGTAGATCAGGCAGGCTAGATAGAAGAACTATTCATGGTTAGCTAACCCTAACAACCTCCTTTATCACATGCTGTTTGTTTCTACTCTTATGAAAGATTGTGGGTAGTGATCTTAGTGATTAGGTCATCTGCCTTGAGGTGAAGTGTGGACTTGATTATGTAATTCCTGCTTTGCAGCCTAGCACAAAACCAAGCAGTGTGTTATATTCATTTCAGTGTTGCAGTAAAATTGTTAATAATTTCACACTTGAGGTTTTTTTTCAGTGACATTTATCACCTTGTGTTTGATTTAACATGGTTACTTCTTGTAGGATTCCTGGTCTACGACTAGTGGGACAGTCATTTTCCCCAGCATTACATCTCCAGTTAGAAGAAAGTACTGGATCTCGAGAAAGTGACATGAGACTACTGAAAGAAATTGTAGAATATGTAAGATTTCTTTTACAAATGTTGAATCCTTCAAAACTGGACTTGTTAAGAAACATGGCCCAATAGTTCCGTGCTTTGTCATGAGTCTTAAACTAAATTGCATCTGTCTTCTATTACTGCTGGTATAGTTGCAAAGAGAGGACAGCAGACCTAGATTATCACAACAGTGGCTTGTTTCAATAAACTTCATTTTACATTAACTGTGCTTTATTATTAATTGAGCTATGGCATGAAACCAGAGTTGTTAGTAGCCGCAAAAGGTTCTGTATGCTTCAGGATGCAGTACAGAAGTGAGGTTGGAGTCAGCACCTTAACATTTTGGCTGAGTTTATATATAACATGAATCCATAATTTTTAAATGAATCAGAGTAGCTGGATTTATGCATTATGTTAATCCATAAATAAATAATCATGGATAGAAGCAGACAACAAGCTATGCACAGATGGCAACAGTGTTTTTACTAATTAGAACAGTGTTTCTCAACCTTGACAATTTTAAGGCATGTGGACTTCAACTCCCAGAATTCCACAGCCAGCAATGCTGGCTGTGGAATTCTGGGAGTTGAAGTCCACATGCCTTAAAATTGTCAAGGTTGAGAAACACTGAATTAGAAGAAAGGAATAGTAGTGAGAACTGATAGAAGAGAAGTGCATTATGGGAAGGGATGTGTTTAAGGGAAGAGAAAATGGCAACAGCAGAAACGTGGATAAAAACTAGGACCAAAGAAAATTCCTATTATATGTTAGCAGTACTTCATAATAAAAACATTAACTGGCAGTTATTATATATTAGTTATATAACTGGTTCTATGTCTTTTTCCCAGTGTATGAACAGAGGTATTGCTTTAACTCAGGCTCGCTATTTGGAAAAAGAAGAAAAATATCTCCCTCCACCCAGGTTAGTAACTACTTCATTCTATTAACAATAAAACTTTTTGGGCCCAGTTACATAGTATAGTTATGGCAGATTGAACTGGAACTTACGAATTTTAAATATTTAAATATTTCTACTATGTTTCTGGATTGCCATTAAATAGAAATTAAGACAATTACAGAATTTTTTTTTATTCAGTGGCTGAACAATGGAATGTAGAAATAAGAAACAAGAATTTTTATATGAAGCTCCCTCAAACTTGATGGAATCATGAAACATGTTAAGCTATGGTTGATACTCTCTAACAGCCAATCAATCCCAGTATTATCTGTTTGGAGTAACAGTCCTCCTTCGCAGATTGACTGTCCTGTTTGTGTGTATTTTTATTTATCCATTTTTAAATCTACCTTTCTCCCAATAGAAGCAGGCAAAGCAACTTGCATAGTCCATGAACATAGTAACAATGACAACAATTTGCATTATTATAATTATAAGTAGAATAACTACAAAGGGTACAAATGTCTATGGAGATTCTCAGTCATCCAGGTCATGGTTGTCTCAAAGGTGCTTTTTTCACGAGGCAACTGGACTTTCTTGTTTTTCTTTGAAGACATTTGCTTCTCATCCAAGAAGCTTCAGCTCTGACTGGGTGATGGGGAATGGCAGGATTTATACTCCTTGCAGACAGCTGGTCATTTGCATTCTTTTAGCAAGTTGTTGAAGCCCCTGGAGGCTTATCTGTGTCCTCAGGGTCACCTGAGTAGTGCAAATGGGTGTGAATCAAAGAAAAACAAAGTCCGGTTGCCTTGTGAAAAAAGCACCTTTGGGACAAAATGGTACAAATAAAAGAAACCCATCCATTCTGTCATAGAATCATAGGGTTGGAAGGCCTTCTAGTCCAATCCCTTGCCCAAGGCAGGAATATCATCTCAGACAAAGGGTTGTCCAACCTTTAAACATCAATATCTATAACAGTACAAAAACACAAGCTATTAAAAGGGAGAGATCTTAAACTGGAAATAGAACCTCAATGGGAAAACAATCTACGTTCTTAGGCTAGACTCTGTCATTTGTTGCTAATCCAAGAAGGTCTTGGTAGAATTAAGATATGCTAAGGATGGATTTTAAAAAGACATGCAGATTTGCATGGGTTTGAGGGTACAGACAAATATAATCTCTCAAATAACTTGTGGGGCTTGGAAAATAACCAAACTATTGATTGCATTAGGAAAGAAAGTAGCCATCACAATTGATATAATAAATCTAAGTACAGTTTTTAACTTCATTCAGTATGTACAGGTCTACCTATACTAATCTCTAGATATTGTAAGGCCATTTTTCTTTTCTTTTTTTACTCTACAGCAAATAAATGTCAATTGACTGTTTTTGTCCCTTCCAGCATACGGGTTGTGGTGACGGTAGAACAAACAGAACAGGAATTGGAAAAAGCCGCCTCCCTTATCAGAGAAGCTGCAGAATCTATACTAACCTGAGGCTGGATTGCTTGGATTTCTGTCTCACACAACACTAGGGTGCTGGTGTTTTCACAGTGTAATGACTTGCACTTCAGAGATTTAAATTATTTGGATTATCATTTGATGGAACTGAAAGGTGGACTTTATTGGGTCATTTCACACACAAAAACAGATATACAAATACTGGAACACTGAACATACACTATATGTATAAAGGTTTAGCTCTATTTTTAGATAGTTTAAATTGGGAATCATTGTTTCTCTAATATTTCACTTGAGCAAGATGTCTCTGTTCTCAAAAGTCTTTCCCTAGTTTTCTAAATGCATAACATTTTTTTTGAAATATGTTAAAGTACATGAAAGAATATGAATGTTTACAGAATATTCTTAATTTAATCATTCTTAATAAAATACAGTTTTGAGCATTTTTCAAAAAAAGAAACCCTGTTGTCAAAATAGATACTTAACATGGGATCCTATGGAATTAAGTATTTAAGGAGCTTTTATTACCCTTGTATGTGAATTTTTGTTTAGCTCATTCCACCTCTGAATTTCTTGAAAACATTAGCTTTTTTAAAATCTTTGTTGAATTTAAATTGCATATCTCATATCATTCCAGTACCATTATGAGTTGCCATTTACCTTTATTTACTATGTACTGAACTTTTACACCAGTGCCCCAACTACTGATAATGTACAGTCATTTAAAGCCATAATATGGACATAAAGTTACCTATTTACACTTCATGTGGAATATGCAGTTTGTATATTAAAAGAGTATTATGCAAGGTTGATGTCTTCATGAAATAGAGTTTGAATGCCAGTACCTGGCAGCAAGAATAAAAATTGGACACAAAGACAATACAACAGTAATTTGATAGGTGCTTTAATCAGTGGATAAATTGGTTTAGTAAAGGTATCTTATGTTATATATACTTACTGCTAAAAAATTTAACTAATTAGAAATTTCTACATGTCATTGCATGGAGTTCATATCATCTGTACTAAAGTATTTCCAAACTTTATACCTAGAATGTAATTGCTTGAGATCAGAATTAAAGTCTTTGGCATAGATTTGCAGAACATTACAGTAAAGCAGGGGTAGTCAACCTTGGCTCTTTTATGACTCGTGGACTTCAACTCCCAGAATTCCTGAGCCAGCTTAGCTGGCTCAGGAATTCTGGGAATTGAAGTCCACGAGTCATTAAAGAGCCAAGGTTGACTACCCCTGCGTAAAGCAACAGTCTGTTATACCTCAGAAGTTACAATATGCCAATATTCTTGTAACCTTCAAGGTAGCTGAGATGTTGAGATAATTGTAATGTGAATTGCCACAAGTAGGGTTCCAAAGACTATGTTTAAGATCTTCTAATATGTTCAGGTTGGATTCTTTACCCTTGTGCCTTCTTTGGTTGCTGCTAAATGGATTCCAGTGCTATATTTGGAAGTATTTTTTTAATAAAAACATATATTTGATCCAGTATTTGAGTTATTTCTGAATTCTTTGTTATGTTGTACCTAATTGTGTGCATCAATTACAACAATAATTTCTAATTAAAAATAACTGAATCTGATTTGGAGCACTTTCTGCCACAAATTTTAAGTATCGTTTTGACAGTTATTTTAAATTAATAGTTGATTTACATTTTGTTACATAATTAGATGATACTGTCAAACCCTCTCCAAATTATCCCCCCAAATATCAAAATATGTGGTATTTGACCCCTAATTCCTATTATCTTCAGTAAGCTAATAAATAAGTTATAAAGATAAATAATTACAATACAGAGTGTTCTTCAGATTTGGACAAATTTGACAAATATGAAGACAAATTTATGATATGCAAATTGAATACACTAACATGGACCACATCACAATCTCCAGGCATTATTTGGCAATATAGAAAATGAGCAGAATTTTTATGTAATCACACCTGAGTGTGCAGCACCTGAACTGGTGTTCCTAGTATCTTTGAGCCACTAGTATACCATCTGCATATGTTCTCTTGAAATGTTTGGGGTGTAAACCATAGTTTAGAGATGAATGTTATAGAATTATGGGAGCATATTTTGAGGCTGCAATTGTAACCAGCTCTAACAATCTTCATTGTGACACACAAACCATCTGTATCCATCCAGTTCAGGGAAATCAAACATTTTATGTCAATATTACTTATATTTATGAATCTGAATTGCATTTATCAGCCTTCTGGGCAGGGTGATGAAGGGTTTTAATAACAGAAACTGTAATGTTTTATGTGATGGAATGGAATGAAATAGAATACACACCTGAGGGGAAAGGATTGTTGAAATACTTAAAATTGTAAAGGAAATACTCCAAAGCTATTTAGAATAAAGCACCCCAGTGCTAAGAAAAAAGGTGTTTTTTAGTCATCTTGCTCAAAACCCTGAAATGCAGAATTTGCGAATCCTGAACCATAAGAGTAGCTGTGTAATGTTCAGGTTTGCATGCGGGGAAGATTGTAATGGGAGATTCCCTTTTCATAGCAATGAAGACATATCTAGATATCAAAAGAATTTTAAAGAGAAAGTGGGAAAAACAAAGGCAACATTCCTAAATAGAATTTTTCAGCATATATTGAGAAATGACAGAGAATATATCTGGAGTAAGAGCACCCTCTCCTTAGTTCTGTTGAAGATAAAGGGTGGGATGTGTAAAATCCTGTATGTAATCTTTTAATAAAAGTAGCATCAAGATTCATAACATGGGTTTCCCAGTCTGGTGTACCTAAAAAGGTTGCAATCAATCCTGAAAATCTGAATGCACCTCCCTCCTCCCTTTACAGTATCTTCAAGAGACCTAGGGAGAGTCAAGTCTTGTGAGGTTTCTCAAATTATGTTTCTGCCTTGGACTCAAATTTGTCTGACCATTGTCTTGGTTGCTCCTCAGGATTATTGCTACTACCCTTTACAAAGCCTCAGTTCAAGTGGAATCAAGATAGATACTGCCATATTTCCACATAGTGTTATGTTTATATGAGTTTGCCCAGTGTAGGGATAAACAATGTGGTATCGCAGTCACCCTCTACAGCAGGGGTAGTCAACCTTGGCTCTTTTATGACTCGTGGACTTCAATTCCCAGAAGTCCACGAGCTGGCTCAGGAATTCTGGGAGTTGAAGTCCACGAGTCATAAAAGAGCCAAGGTTGACTACCCCTGCTCTACAGCTTCTCCTGATGTTCTTATCCTATCTGGACTGAAATAATAATATACATTAATATTTTAATAGTTTATTTCAAAGGTAAATAGTGTGCAGCTGGTAGGTTGAAAAGACATTCCCAACCTCTAGCATTATCTTTATTTCAAAAGATTGCCTTTAGGCTCTTTAGCTCCAATGGCGTTCTGAGAAAATAACAGGGCTTTGTTTGAAAGTGTCTTAAGTGTGACCACCTGCCTTCAAAAAGGATACCTGGAGGTAAATATGTCCACAGATTCACTATTTTGTGCTTGAATTATGTGCTTGCAACAGGGAAACTACAGGGAAAATGTTTGAAGTAGTGCTGTTCTGCTGAGACGAGCTGGTGCTAAAACAGTCTTTATGCAAATAGATAGTATGCAATTACTTCCATATCTTTACCATCTCGAAGACTGAAAACTAAACTAATGGAAACATTTGGAAAACAATGTGTGATTCTTAGAGTTGAAATCTATCTTTCTCAACTCATAAAAATACATGAGAAGTTGAAGTATACTAAGTATATTTCTCTTTTTTTCACTTTTGAAATGTGATCCTGTTCACTGTGATGAATGGTGGACTGTCTTTATTGTTCTTCCCTCCCACCCCTCCATTCCATCTGGAGTTTATTACTTCAAAACGACCTGTGGAGTGTTGGCATTTGCTGATATCTGGCTGCTACTGCACACCAAGGTTGCATCTTTAGAAGATTTATAAAATGTACTACAGCAGCAAAAGAAATATCCTGCGTATGCCTTCAGCACATATGAATGTAATGCTTTCATTGCAACAGAAAATGGAGATGTCTATTCAGGTGAGTATATGCACATATGTGGTACATGTTTTGTTTTTGCACAACATGGAGAAATATGAACTAATGGGCCTTTCCTCACTTACCCCTACCCATGGCCCTAGAATATCATGATAGCATTTTTGCCATACCCCCTGACATTGCCTTTATCTTGGTCCAACCTGAGAATGAAGAATATCATAAACCAACTGCTCACTCACAGTTCTGAGAAAGTTCGATTTTTTTGTAAATATCCTAGAATAATTACTCCAGGGAAGAGCTCTCCATTTGTCAATTGTAAAAATGTACTGTAAGTCTATCAAACTGTGTATTTTATACTACCATACATTACTATTAATAATAAATGATTAATATCAATATTTACTATTCTTAATATTAATAGATATTAAATCTTTCATCTAAGATTAATCTGATCCCATAAACTCGCTAGAGATTTTCACCATCTATTAAGAATAGTAAATATTGATATTAATCATTTATTATTAATAGGAAAGCTCTTTCGTTTCAATCCCCCCTTGTTTTCATTGACTGGATAAATACATGAAAAATAATTCCTATTGTAATGGAAGTCCACTTGGATTAGGATTAGGCTTCCATGAATTTGGAGACAAAAAAAAACATTACTAATTGATTTAGAGAGGCTCATTATTTTCCAAGATTGGTTGAAATGGATGTTAATATCTGGAAGGTATTTCAAATAGATTATTTAATTATTAAGTTTTTTTTTAATGGAAAGGATATTGCCCTACAGTCTAGGCCAGAGGTGTCAAACTGCCGGCCCACGGGCCGGACACGTCATCCAGAAGCCGCGCCCACCCCATTGCCAGCAATGGCAAAATCGTCCCGATACGCTGCGCGACGTCATGTGAGTTTGACATCTCTGATCTAGGCTATCCCCCTATATTTTCTTTGTTGAAAGATTTCTTTTACTCAAATATGGCTACGATAGGATTATGTGGACTTTAATTTTCCTGACCTTACATTTTATTTTCGGATTAAATCCAAGTGATCAGGTTCAGAAACCATCCAGAGCACACAATTAGATACTTTTCTCACCGAATTATTTAAAAATTCAGCTGTATTTCCAAGATAAAGAGCTGCAAGGCATAGTTGAAAGGATGGAAGTATGTCTTCATGTGAACAATATATAGTGTGGAAATCCCAGTGTCATAATTGCTGTAAAGCCTTCTTTTGGAATTTACAGTATGAGCGAGTAACAGTATTAGTATTTTAGATCAGCTTATTGCCAATCAAGTTTTTACATCCTTTACATTTCAGCAAGTGAATTTGGATTATCAGAAACTGAGGAATGGTAATATATTCAGTTAAAATATCTTTTGCTTTCACAGGGAATAATTAGTATTTGCCACCTTGAGTTGGTCTTCCCTTTCCTCTGCCCTCTTTTCTTCTTTCCTCTTTCTGTACTCTTTCTTGTGATCCTGGAGAAGTGCAACCCTTTCATCCTTTGTTTCTTAAGCTCCTCCTTGCTGCATCCCAGTGACATTTGGTGTCATCTCTTACCCATGACATCCCCCCCCTCTTTCCCCATGGCATAATTATGCTGACAATGTTTTAACTTAGTTCAATTGAATTATTTTTATCACAATGTTGGACATTGCCCTTCTCACCTCAGAACAGTCTACAATTGCTGCCGGCTTCTCCACTGCAGTATAGGAAGCTATCATGGGCAGTTTACACACAATTCTTTGCGTATGCTGTAAAGCAGCTTTTGCTTTTTTGTACAAAGATTCTGACCTGGACTGCAAAAAGCAGATGACCATGATAAGACAGAACATTCTAATTTGTTATGCCATTGTGTGATCATTCAGATTTTTGCAACCTTGATCTGGTACCCCTATACCAAATGTTGAGTGGAAATGTGTATGTATGTGTGTATCCGCATCTACACATACCTGATGGGACCTAGTACTGTGATAAGCCTTCCTATGGCTTGTTCAGTGTTGGCTTAGTAGGCTACGTTTATCCAATCCTTTGGATAGTAAACAAGGATTTATGTTTTAATGCTTATGAACTGAGCCAGCAGTGGGTTATTCAATAAGCTATGGCTAAGCAAGCCTGGCTTAATAAAATGTGTCAGGAATCACATGCCCACAGTTGGGGCATGAATTTACTGACACGCTTCCTTGAAATCAGTTCAGCTCTGGTGAAGTAGGTCCTCTTCTCTTTGGGAAGAGATCGCATGCACATATTCTGTCCTGCTGGAACATTAGTTCCAGAGCTCCATGGAATAATCTGTCTCTTGGCCATGTCTTCTCCTCACTTCAGCCCTTTCCAGGGGGTTTGTTCTTGCAATGTGCAATTCTGGAATGTATTTAAATAACATTTAGCACATTCAGGAGCACAGGAAACAGAAACAATCTGCCCTACGGCTTTACCAAATATAATTGAAATCACTGGCGGTAGGTTAACTACGTTCATTTGGTCAGAAGTGCACAGGTGCTA